GAGGGCGAATTTACATTTTATACAACATGAATTTTGTTCTCGATTCAGTGTGCATTTGTTTTCGACCGATGACGAATTTACTTTCCGAAAAGAGTGTACACTATTTCCGGAAATTATTGGTGTATAAATAACTCAGAAAATCGGTGCACTTTCAATCATATTCTTTTTCTCCTGAATATTTATACAGAGAAAAAACTACTTAGCATAAATCAGTTTGTTTACGAAGATGGAAGGTTTATTTTCTTTCCTCATTCAAATCTACTATAGGGGGTATGGGATTTAAAAAAGAAATTTTGATAGCGTTTTTGAAAGACTGCCAAAAGGACCGCGCAGAGGGTGAAGAGATTATATTTGATTATCCAAGAGGCAAATATACAATTATAAAGACATCTAAAAATGAAGACACACAAGTAGAGATCCTTCATTATCTGTCAGGCACATTGTTGGGCATTTATGAAAACAACAAATATGTCAGACAAATTGACAGACAGGACGTTATAGACCTAGACAGTTTCTTAATGAGTGAAGGAATTTATTTTCCATTTGAAGACAAGAATAGAAGAGAAAAATATGGAAAACCTTCATTATTGGACCCAATAGTTATTAAAGAAAGAGTGGATAAAGTTTAAAAAAAAAGGTTCTCCTTTAACTCTTTATTATACCAATGATTTGCTTCCCACAACAGCGCGAAGCTTGTCCCTCGCATAAACACAAAGGTCAAGGCTGGGGACGAGATCGCTCTTTTCTATGGGTGGCGGTCTCCTTGGTCCAAGTACTGTTTCTGTGCCAAAGCTGTAAAACTAGGACTAACATTTTTGGAATATTCATTATTACAGCGTCTCCCTTTTAAAAATAAAATCCTTATTTAATTCCTAATAGTCCTATTTGTATTTAAAATGTTATCTATAATAATCAGCCTTCTCTTTCTTTCTTCTTGTTCTTATAAAGAAATCATATAGAGACCCGTCAGCATACATCTATATTTTGAGCTTTGATTGTGCGCTCTAAGAACCACCCCTCTTAAAAATGGCCAGATGTTAATTTCATTGTATGAAGAAATCCTTAATTTTCTCTCAAACTAACTGGATTAAAGTCAAATAAAGCTCTTCAATTATTCTAAAGCATAAATATTATAAAACTTCCTTGAGTTATCAAGTCGTATAAGAAAATCTTTGCCAATGAAAAATTGATATATGAAGTTGAGCAATATTATAAGGTCAAATAATTGAAGCGATTTTGGCAAGGAAAGGATGCTTAAAAGCATATATAGAAGAATAGAAGAAGCAAAAGTTAGACGATGGTTGAAACGAGGCAAATTTGCATATCGCTCTGGGGTTATGAATAACTATAAAAAATAACATAGTTTGAAGAAGAAGAAGAGGACCAGCACTCTGTTGATAAAACATTGGATCAATACAAAGAAAACTATTCAAATATGGAAGACAGCAGTGATTGAAGAAGATATTATTTCTGAATTCACTTTGGGAACTAATCTCCCAAAGTGATTTCATATTGAAAACGGACCAGATAAGATCGGCAGTTTTGCCTCCTCAAATGGATGACACGACGTTTCTATGAGTTATTTTGACAATAATAGCGTTGTTTGTCCTTTTTTTATGCAAACATTTGTTGATAAGACAACCGAAACAATCCAAAGAAAGCGTAATTCGTCAAATGTTGCTTAAATAAGCTATTTATTCTTTTTCAGTTGCTTTGAATTATGAGCTCTTTATTTTACCTGCATGCAGTTTACGTAATACCGTTTTTTTTTTGCTCCTTCCCTTCTATCGGATATGTGTGTCAGTAATTCGGAATTTTGAAACAAAAATAATCATTGACTGTGGCAACAAAGTACTATGATCCGAATAGATCTCATTCACGCTGTGTAATGGCTAAGGATGTCATTGTCAAGCTCTCCTTCAATTATCAAATGCATTCATATGAAGAATATATTTTTCTGATGAATGCTTATTTTAATACATGAAGCCATTCATTTATTTTATTTCAATGTTTTACACACGCGCCTTTTACTGAGCCGTGTTTACAAAATAAATTATTTACCCCCCGACAACGTTTTCTTTCTTTTTTTTGTTGTTGTTTGTTTTTATTGTAGCTGAAAAAGATGACAAACCAATCACCACATCCTAATTCGTTATCACCACAAAGTAAACACCCTCAGTCTGCTTTTCAATGGCCTATTCCACCCTTGTCTCAACCTAATTCATCGCCTGAGATAAGTGTGAGGGAAATCTTGGACAGATATAGTGACGATCCTGAATTGTTGAAATACATATTAACAGCCAAGTCAGAAGAAGACAAGGTATGTATGTCTGAAGATTTCTATTTACATGTCGGCTAATCCCTATTATTAGAAAAAAGCAGCAAGAGATACATTAAAAGCTGAAGAAGCACGCATTCAGCTTAGACAAATGGATCTAGAAATAGCAAGAGAACAATCCAAATCAAGAACAGCGACTACAGCTCAGCCTCCTCCTCCAACACTTGTATATGGTCTTGCGCCTGTCCAACAGCAAGTACTTGCTCGTTTTAACTATCCTCAACATTTAACGCATCAACAACAACAGCAACAGCAACAACAGCAAAGACAGTCAGAACAACAACAATACCACCAGCAGCATAGACCACCCCCTTCTCCAGGTATACCATATCCTCATTCTGCTCATCCTCTCTTTCCTCCATCATCCTCAACCGACTATCGAGTACAATCCTCAGAGGAAAAGTCCTCATTAAAACGTAATCGATCCTCTATATCAAACGAGACAGAACAGGTATCGGATAAACTATCTCATGATAAAGTCATGGAGGCATTAAAAGCCAAGATTCAGAGAAGTAGCAATAATCCTCAATCTCCTTTATCAGCATCAAAAGACACAAAAAAGAAAAAGCAACCGCCTCGTCCGATTATGAAAGTCGATTTAGCTAATCGATCTCCTTCTTCAAACTCACCACGATCTGCAAAACCAGTGTTGCCTCCCATTGACACGAATCTGGGTAGACTAAGTCAGCCAGCGAGAACAGAAGAGAGTAGTAGTAATAATAATGCAACCAACAGCAGTGCTGATAGCAGTGATAAACCCTCCCCTGTACACTACCGTCGATCTCGTTCATTGACACCTTCAACTTAATAAAAAAAAAAAAAAAAAAAGAGAGAACGCTTTATTTAGTCTTTATGTGATGGTAATATATATGTCTTCTTTGGTCTATAATAGGTTGAACGTCGGTAGAGGTAGCCACCGATAAGTGTAAGCAACATCATGCTTATCAACCAATGTGATTTCACTGTCTGAACTCCACTTCGAACAGATTTATATGCTCTCTGATGTAAACCTCCTGCTGGACTTCCCCGTAGCTTGTCCAAGTTCTCCAAGACTAAATAGATGCCTTCAGGATTACTACTGGATAATTCGCTTCTTTGTAAATCTTTATCAAAGTACTCATAGGTCTATTTTTAAGTGTTTAATAGTCATCGGTACATAAAAGGCAATCAACTTACAGCTGCATTATAAATAATAACCTTGGGCGTCCTTTCCACTTGAATATTGAGTGTGCTATCAAGATACTCTCCCCACACTGTCTTGTCCACTTGTACAAAAATAGGTGCCTTGTTTGATTGTGCTCGATCCCATGCAATGGCTACATTACGGAACTTTGTCTCATCTGTCAAATCTGGACGATCAACCACGTTCATCACAACTGTTCTATCCCCGTCTAATATCGATTGGTAGTTGCTAGGTGACAGTTTAGCCACTAAGGGGTATTGCTCTTTATCAATCCATTCAAGCAGTGCTCTCTGATTGCTTTCCGTATTTGTAAAATCATGTGAATGATACATCTTTGGCTTGCCATCTTTCACCATCACAACTGCTGGAAGGCTGAATTGTTGTCCTATGAGTGTTGAATCCTGACTTGCATAAAATGACACAGTGTTCATGTATGTTTTTGCGGCCACTTCAAATATTTCCTATCATTGTACGTGTCAATAATCCGCGCAACATTTTATTAGTTAAATACTTACCGGTACTTGTTTATCTTCAGATAAGTAGAATACAGAAACATCGCTAGTATGGATGGCATCTACAACGTTTGTTTTGTCTACTTGCTTCACAGGGGAACTATGACTTGTTAGCTTTTTTTTTTTTTTCATGGGATATATTTTATCTTTATATTACCCAGAGTACTCTTTTGCAAATCTGATAAGACTAACGAGGGAACGATCATCATTATAAGCGGTTGGTTCTCCATGGTGATACATCTTGATCGTAGGGTATCCTGATACTCCATGCTCAGAACATGCAGCTATAGCAAGGTTAAAGGGCATTAAAACAAAAAGAAAAGGTCCAAGAGACTCTGCTTACCTGGATGTTGTTCACAGTTCACTTCACCAATATTCACCTCATTACGAAGTTGCTTGGCTAATTCGACCCATGTTGGAGCCAAGCGTTGACAGTGACCACACCAAGGAGCATAAAACTTGATAAGCCAAGCATCTGATTTCTTTGATGTCACTTCTCTTAATCGTTGCTCATCCAAGTCTACAGAGATTCCTTGTGGATTTGGCAATACTGATTTTGTATCTGAATGATCGATTTGTTCCTTTTGGGGTTCTTCTTCCTCTACTTCTTCCTCCTCTTCCAATGCAGGTTCCTCTTCCCCTTCCTCTTCTTCCTCTTCTTCTCCTTCCTCCTCCTCCTCCTCCTCTTCTTCTCCTTCTTCTTCTTCTTCTTCTTCTTCTTCATCTGGTTTAGAAACATCCTCCTCTTCATCTGTCAGTTCTTCTTCGTCATCCTCCTTCAGGCTATCTGCCTCGGAGTATGCATTTGCCTTGTCTTTAATATACTCAGCCAATGCTGCATATTCTCTTGATTCTGAAAATGTCTCAACATATTCACCATTCTCCCAAAGCTGAATGTTGGGAATAGAATGAACATTGTGTTTATTACATAAATCGCCTTGGACAGCACAATTGATTGTACCGAAATGAAAGTTGTTTGTTGTAGCAAGTTGACCAAAATCCTCTGAAAGCTGTTTCCAAGTAGGTGCTAACAGTGATTATTTTCAGTCTATATATATATAAGCATACATATGTGAGCATCTGTTTACCAAAATGTTGACAGTGAGGACACCAAGGTGAGAAATGCTCAATTAGCCTAGCATAAGGTTATTATTATTAATATTAATATAAAAGAGCAAATATACCATTGCCCAGAGCTAGTAATCTCTTTAATGTTATCTGGTCTTAATTCAACAGACACAGCTTGAATACTTGTCAGTAAGAACCCTGCGCATAGTGCTGCTGTTTTCAATAACATGGCGTAAAAAAAAGAAATATAAAATAAAGGGAGAAGCGTCAAAAAAGCTGCCCAATCAACTGCGCTTCAAATGGACAATGCTTATTGGCTATGGATAATTCCAATGTGTGTGCATAGCTTCTTCAACAAAAATAACTGTTTATTTTTAATGGTTATAACAATGAATTATAAAAATACAAAAGATGAACGGGGATCAATTTATGCAATGTAGTTAGAAGCAGAGACATTACCACCCTTACCGGTCCAGTTGGTGTGGACGAACTTGCCAGGGGCATCCAAGAGTTCATAAGTGTGGGCACCAAAGTAATCACGTTGAGCTTGAAGAAGGTTAGCAGGAAGGATTTCGTGACGAAGACCGTCATAGAAGTTTAAGGCGGTAGAAAGAGCAGGAGTAGGAATACCCATGGTAACAGCTTGGGCGATGACTTCTCTCCAAGCGTCTTGAGCATCAGCAGTAGCCTTTTGGAAGAAGGGGTCGAAGAGCAAGTTTTCGAGTTCAGGGTTGTTGGTGTAGGCATCCTTGATCTTACCCAAGAAGACGGAACGGATGATACAGCCACCACGCCACATCAAGGCAATACCGGCAAAGTTCAAGTTCCAGTTGTAGTCAGCACCGGCTTGACGCATGAGCATGAAACCTTGAGCATATGAGACAATCTTGGAAGCATAGAGGGCTTGACCAAGGGCAGCAATGAACTTCTTCTTGTCACCGGTGAAGGGCTTCTTGGGAGGGCCAGCAAGGATCTTGGAGGCGCGAGTACGCTCGTCCTTGAGGGAAGAAAGACAACGAGCGTAGACAGCTTCACCGATCAAGGTGACGGGAATACCACGGTCAAGGGAGTCGATACCGGTCCACTTACCAGTACCCTTTTGACCAGCAGTATCTCTAATCTTTTCAACAAGAGGCTTACCATCGGTATCCTTGTATCTGAGGATATCACGTGTGATTTCGATCAAGAAGGAATCCAATTCACCCTTGTTCCATTCTTCAAAAACATCGGCCATTTCATCGTGAGTTAAACCGAGACCTTCCTTCATGATTTGATAGACTTCGGAGATCAATTGCATGTCACCATATTCTTTTTTTTAAAAAAAAAATCAATAAACGATCTATTTTCTTATCAATGCCACTTATACTTACCAATACCGTTGTGGACCATCTTGACATAGTGACCAGCACCAGATTCACCAACCCATTCACAGCAAGGAGCACCATCAGGGGCTTTGGCAGCGACATCTTGGAAGATAGGCTTGATGTGTTCCCAAGCCTTGGGGTTACCACCAGGCATCAAAGAGGGACCATAACGAGCACCTTCTTCACCACCAGAGACACCGGAACCGACAAAGAGGATACCCTTGGCCTCCAACTCCTTGGCACGACGGATGGAGTCAGGGAAGTGAGAGTTACCACCATCAATGATGATATCGCCTTCTTCCATGTGAGGAAGTAATTGATCAATAAAGGCATCAACAGCAGAACCAGCCTTGACAAGGAGGATGACCTTTCTGGGACGCTTCAATTTGGCACAGAGCTCTTCAACAGAATGAGCACCAACAACCTTGGTTCCCTTGGCTTCGTTATTCAAGAAGTCGTCAACCTTGGATGTAGTACGGTTGTAAGCACAAACGGTATAACCGTGATCATTTATGTTCAAGATAAGGTTTTGACCCTTTTTTTAAGAAAAAAAAGTTAGCTCTTTCTACCCTTTTATGTTGCGCGTACACTTCGCGTATGTATATAACTTACCATAACGGCCAAACCGATAAGACCAATATCAGCACTAGATGCAATAGATAAATATACAACATACACAACGCGCGTATTTTCAAACGACTTACACAGCTTCAACCATGTGAGTTTATTAAGATTTGTTTTTTAAACGGAAAATAAAAGAAGAAAAAAGGAAAAATAAGTCGAGGAGGGAGATTAAATAGAGATTTCGGGATGATGTAAAGTTAAATGCTTAGTGAGCATGACTGCTTTAGATTATAAAGATTCTACCCTCCCCCATTAATAATAATTAATAAGGTTGCATACAAAAGGGAAACAGATGTATAATACGCACTTTTTTATCCAGCGAGCAATGGCTCGTGAAATACAAGATATATAGACTTTATATAAAACTGAAAATCAAGGGAAAACGAAATGACTGGATAAGATTGCGCCGATAGTTAATTTTTCCGTTTCTCTAAATTTATTGGGGGGATTGAAATGAACCCCACTATGATATTGCATACGTAATTGTGGTCCAAGCAGTGATCATAGACTTTATTTCTACTGTAGTTAGTTGCCATAGAGACATGATCTATTTACTCATTTTTTTTATATTTTTACTAGATGTATCTGTTCTTTTTTAAAAAATGTGTCAAAGTGTAAAGATTTGATATGTCGCACTAATAAAAAAGCGATGCATCTCTCAAACATAGTGTCGCACAAGAATCTTTTCCAGGGTTAGCCGCGCTCCAGAGCCAACCTACACTGGAAGGTTGTTACAGCATCATCTTATTAAGGGTGTATTGTAATATGGCATGGATAACCTTTTACCGGTTTTTTTTTTTATATGTATATATAAAATCGAGAATATTCAGGATACTTCTTTCGCGTCTCATACCCACAAAATAACCTCTTGGTTGAAGTATACAGAAAGAAGAAGAATGCACCATCTTAACTGATGAGCGGTGAATCATTGTGGTTTATGATGATTGAATGGTTTTGGATTGGATAATCGAATGTTTGATTTGTTCCTGACGTTAATCATGCAGATCTTTTCATGATCTAAGGCTATACTGTTTTATGAAAGAGAGCCATCATTAGAAAAGTGTATCTTTTTTTTCTATACAGCAGCTTACAAGATAGGGAATATCTTTATTCATGCGAATGAATTCTCTCTTCTTTATGTGTGGCTTGAAAAATAAAAAACACTAGAAGGGGGCTCCGCATGAAGAATAACTTTTTTTTTTATTTCAACATGTCAACAAAGAATCTTGACCAGTTCAATCTATTGTTATCACAATATGCTCAAATGGTTCTTCCAGCTGAAGAGCAAACAACAGACACAGCTTATTTGATATCAACTCTCAACTCGCTTGATTCAGTAGACCACATCAAGATCCTTGATCAAGTAATGCCTTGATGCACTTGATGCCCCTATTCTTCTTCACACTAATGTTATTATAAGCAAGTAGTCGAACTTTTAGTAGCTGGATGTAAAGCCATTGGTCATGACAACGAATTATCTTGTGCTTTTTACCAATTTCTCTATAAACAACTATCAAAACAGGTAAATATACATCTTTTTTAGTTTCTTTGTGCGTATTGAATATATATATTATAAAGATACGCCTGAGTAGCATTCGATCTTCTCAATTTGATATTTGCATAAGCTATCTTTTTAATGGATTAGACACAGCCAAGAGCAGCGACCATCAAGTAAATCTATTACGAGCGCTAAGCGCACTTGTATTTGAAAATGCAGGCAACACTCAACGCCACTCCAAGAGACTATCGGACACACTATTAAGATTTGCTAATAAATCGACAAAACCTTTAGAAGTGAGGCGCATGGCAATCAACTGTATTGGCAATGCGTGTGCTGGAGCAGGCACTAAGCTGCAACCCCTATACCAAGACTTTTATGCATGTCTGCTCGAAAACATTTGTACAGTCGAACGCACCTCTCAGGGCACCATCATGGTGGCTGCTCATTCTCTGGATTTTGCAGATACGGCTGTTCGAAAGATAGCCAGTTCAACACTCAGATCGCTTCAGTTTTTACTGTCCCAGGACAAGTCGCTGATCACAAACCCACTATGTGATATGATCGACATTGTCTACACATTCATCTTTATGAATGTCTCGGTGCAGTCTTACAGTACATCATCAACGACTTCTATTCGACGTAACCGAGTCTTTTCTATCCGTCACTCTCAGTTCTCCTGGAAAATACCATCATCGTCATTACACAGAATACCCAACCCAGCAACAAGCTCAGAATCCGAGCTATCCGATTCATCCAGTCTGACCGAAATGTCGCCTCGTAAACAAAGAGATTATGCTAAAATTAGGGTAAACGCACTTCTCTGTCTGTCTGCTATAGCCAACGTAAGTTCATTTCTAAATATGATTGCTTCGATATAATAACCCCTTTTGTAGACTGCTCCAAAGGTACTTTATCCCTACTGGAATAAATTTTTACCAGACACGTTCTCTATCTTCTTGTCAAACAATGGTGGGCTAGAAAATCAACTATCACCCGTACTCAAGTCTGATAACCAGCCGCATTCATTATTCACAATTTTACTATATGACCCTGTCATGTCTGTTCGAATAGCCGTATGCAATGCCTTGATAGCTATGCTAAATGGTTCCAAACAGTACCTGAGTTTAGCCATGTAAGTTTCCTCTTTCAAAAAAGAAAAAAGGTGATTCATTCGTTTCTTTAGTGAAAAGAGTAAAAAATCATCATTCACTACGTTATCAGAACATTTGGGCTCCATTATACATGATATGCATAAAGGCATCATATATGCTCTACAAAAGGAACAAACAGTACAGACTTTGGTCATGATTATGAACGTAGCAACTGTCCTTGTCGATAATTGCTCATATGATAAACTATCAAAGCTTCATTTACCTTTACTTTATGACGCTGTTAAAGTGCATTGGAAAGAACCAGGTATGTTGTCATTGATATGCATTAAGGGAGAGGATGATCTCATCGAAAAAAAAAGCCTTACGCAGTGCCGTCCTAAAAGTGATTGCATCCATGTTTAACACTAAACAAGAAAGCCTAAAGGAACTCATTCAGCCTGATCTCATTGATATCACCTTATTGGACGCCGTAAAACAGCAAGAAGACAAGGATGTTTGCTCACAGGGTTGGTATGTCTGCTCTATATTAACCAAAAACTATTTTCAAGACACAATGCCTGCTCTATGGAATAAGCTTGTTTCCGAATTTGATCATAACTTGCCCGTTTCTTCTGCAAGCTTAAAGTTTTTCGAAGCATATGCTAGTGCTATAGCTGAAGATGTAAAGGATGATCAAGTTAAACCAGAGTACGTTGACTGGTGGCGGACGATCATCGAAAAATACTCACAGCAAGCATCTACGGGCTCATCTGCTATTCGTGTTGCCTCATGTGATTGTTTTGCAAGCATGTCAAGGGATATATTTGAATGTCTTGGCTATAGGGAGCAGAGGTTAATCGTCACTTTACTCTATCCGCTTGCATCAGATACGGATCATAATGTGAGAGCAGCGGCCTGTAGAGCCTTGGGTGTCTTTGTGCTCTTTCCATCACTCCGAGAAGATCCACTGTTTGTGTCTGATATGATGAAGGCAATTTTGGAACAAAGAAATGATAAGATTATTCTAGTGCTTGTAAGAAGCAGTTGGGCATTAGCAAACATGTGTGATGCTCTTGTTTTAGAAAGGTATTTTGTTTTTCATGAAACTAGACAAGACAATTCATTATATATTTTGCTAGTGAAAATGAAGGGTTTAATCTAAGAGAGTATATGTCTACATCAGAATGGATAGATGTATTGAGTTATGCAACTAGCGCTGCTACTGACAATGAGAAAGTAAGTCATTGGAGGGAGTCATCAGCTTTTGTACTTAACTATATTTCTAGTTACGATCCAATGCAGTTAGAACTATTGGTAGCTTATTAAGAATAACACCAAGAGAATACTTTGAGAATACGCGTATAGTATCTCTCGTGTCGCATGCGATGGATGGACTAGTGAAAAATATTGAATCCGGTTCACTCAAGGTAAAGTCAAAGAGAAAAGCATAAAAAAAGAAGCCAACATGAAAATATAGACACGATGGAATGCCTGTCATGCTGTCAGTAATGTATTTTTGAATCCATACTTTCCTATTGGCTATATAGGAGAAGAAGGAAGAGGAGGAGGAAGAGTTTATCCATGGACACATGATGTATATGAAGCATTGACTCAATCATTAGTCGAATGTAAAAACTACAAAGTGAGAATCAACGCTTGTTTAGCATTAAGTATCCCCAAGAATAAAGAAAAGTATGGAAACAAGTTAGATATGATTTTATCATGCATAAAAAAAGCATGGGATAAATGTCAAGCAACTGAAGAATATAGTGAACTCAAGTATAAAACACAACTAGAGAATCAAGTAAGCAACCGGATAAAAATACCAGAGTCTAATTAATAACATGCCTCTAGATAAAGGTGTCTTTAAAGCACTTTAAAGAACAAGGAGTGTCTCTATCAGATTGGCCAAATTTAGAACTATAGTAAAAAATAAATTTCACATGAAAATAATGAAAAAGAAAAAAAAAGTACTATCCCCCCTTTTTACCTTCTTCTTCTTTCTTTTCTCTTCTAATCTAGGACGAAATGCCCAACGTATTCTCTAAATTAGTATTACCGGAATGGGCACTTTCCACAGTTCCTTATATCAATAATATATTTAGACAGTATGGAAAGTATAGAACAACCATACAACGTTCGATCATATTTGTCTTGATCCTACGTTCGACTTTATCTATAAGAAGACTTATTCTTGCTATGAAAAAGAAAGAAACTACAAAGGCACCTAAAGAGTCAGGAACTAGAAAGAAGAAAGTTGAGGTAAAGTTTTATAACAGTCAACACGTATACGTTATATTTACATTTATGATAGGTCGATGTAGTCTTCTTTAGGCAGCTTTATAAGTTACTACAAATTGTCATGCCAGGATTACGTTCAAAAGAGTTTTGGCTATTGGTTTTACATTCTGGATTCTTGGGTATTATTCATGTAGTAGAACTTTTAATGTGCTTACGTGTGTAATATAGTCTTTAGAACGGTATTATCTGTTTATATTGCCTCTTTGGATGGCAGAATTGTCAGTGCCTTAGTCAGAGGACAAATAAAAGAATTCATTTTGGGCATCATCTGGTGGATGACAGTTGCTATTCCTGCAACTTATACAAACAGTATGGTAAGTGTATATAGGCTCATGTATGTATAACTCTAATACCTTATGAAAGCTGACATATATGCAAAGCAAATTATCCATCCAATTCCGTACTCGTCTTACCACTTTTATTCACGAAAAATACTTGAGCGACATGACGTTTTATGCTGTTGGCAATCTCGATGATAGAATCAAAAATGCAGATCAATGTATCACTGTAGACACGATGAAATTCTCAAATTCACTTGCTGAACTTTACTCTAACCTTGCCAAACCTATCCTGGACGTGTGTATCTATAATTACCAACTATCCCGAAACGTCGGCTTTGAGGGCGTCTTTATTGGATCTTTAATCACTCAGTTATCTTCCATTATCATGAGAAAGTATACACCCTCATTTGGTAAAATGGTGGCAGAAGAACAAAGGTTGGAAGGTGAATTCAGATTCAGACACTCTCGCTTAATCGACAATGCAGAAGAAATTGCCCTCTTTGATGGTCAAGTGATTGAAAAGGCTGAACTGGACAAGAGTTATCATGCATTGATCCGCCATGTCAACCGTGTCTTCAGAATACGTATCCCGCACGGAATGATGGAAGACTTTGTCATCAAGTACTTTTGGGGTGCATGTGGCCTTTTGTTGTGCTCTGTACCTGTCTTCCTCCGTGTGCCTGGTGTAAATACTTCAGATACTTCTATCGGTGGCCGTACAGAAGGTATGCGTATATACTTCTACTTTTATTCTTTTACTAACAACAACAACAACAACAGGATTTATTACGAATCGTCGTCTATTATTAAACTCTTCTGATGCTGTTGGCCGTATCATGTATGCATACAAAGAAGTTACTGAACTAGCAGGTTACACGAGCAGAGTAAAAGGGATCCGTTGAGATGACAACATGCTTGATGACTAAACTTATGTTTTAGGTTACTGACTTATTACAGGTATTTGAAGATGTCAAAGCTGGAAGATTTCAAAAAAACCTTGTTTCGTCCATCTCCACAGAGTCTAATGCCAAGACGCTACAAGGACGAGGCAAGATTGTTCAAAGTGAGAATATTGAGTTTGAGGATGTACCTATCGTTAGTCCCAATGGTGATGTTCTTGTGCCAAAGCTTACTTTCCATGTTAAGCCCGGTGTAAGTCAACCTTGTACTTCATTAAATTATTGCTTACATATAGTAGATGCATCTGCTCATTGTTGGTCCAAACGGATGCGGAAAATCTTCCCTCTTTCGTATCCTGGGTGGATTGTGGCCTGTCTATGGTGGAACAGTACACAAGCCAAGTCATAAAGACATCTTTTATATTCCCCAAAGACCATATCTCTCATTAGGAACCTTAAGAGATCAGTACGTCATTACAGATTAATTTCTTCTTCTTTTATCACTCATATGATTATACAGAATTCTATATCCTGACACTATTGAAGACATGAAACAAAGTAAGACTTTAAAGACACCAGGGAAGAGCCTGACATTCTATTTTATATAGAAAGCGTCACTGATGAAGACCTACTCGAGATCTTGAAGGTTGTTCAAATCGAACATATTGTTGAAAGAGAAGGCGGATGGGATAGTGAAAAGGAATGGTCATTAGCATTGTCTGGTGGTGACAAACAGCGTGTAAGACAATAATCCCTCTTATGCTTAAATGACTAATCATCTCATAGATCGCTATGGCTCGATTGTTTTATCATAAACCTCGTTATACTATTTTGGATGAATGTACCAGTGCTGTTAGTATGGACATTGAAAAGATCATGTATACACATGCTACTGGTAAAACAATACACTACAGAAACTTGTAAACATGCTGACGACTTTCTTTTTAGCGCTCGGTATTTCACTCTTGACAGTCTCACATCGTCCTTCTCTTTGGAAATATCATAATTTCATTCTTCAATATGACGGACAAGGAGGCTACGTATTTACGAAATTAGATGCAGAAAAGAGATTGGCTCTTCAAGAAGAGAAGAATATGGTAAACAGACATACTTATTTCTATTTTTTTATACTAAGGTGTACCATTAGATTGAACAAAAGCTTCAAGAGATACCAAAATTACAAGCACGCATACATGAATTAATGGAAATGAAGCAGTAAACAAAGACCATACATATGACTTGGATTCATTGTTTATATCCCAAGTCAGAAAAGAATAAAAAGGAGGATGTTGTGTGTTGTAATAAAACTTGTTTCTTTTTTATATTTTTTTCTTTCATCATGACAGTAATCCATACCGAAACTCACCTTACCTCTGATCCTGTATATAGTGAAGGCTTTGCTTATTTTAATGTGGCACTCTCCAATATTTCTGTTGAATGTCATATTCATCGAGAAGAGGCCATCAATTATCTTAGAGAAAACAAGATACGAACAGGCGACTTGATTAAGATTGGCGGTAAGTCATAGAATGTTACAAACAAGGTTGTATCTACTCATGGTTTTTTAAGGGGTCTTTATAACAGAAACCAAGCCAGATCAAGCCCATTATCTTAACGTGAATAGCATTTGTTTAGCCTCCAGCGACAGAAGCAACAACAAGAGGAGAAAGACATTACACGATGCTGGTGTCTCTTCGAATGTGTTCAACGATAAGTGCGTATCATGCGTTTTTCGAAGACTAGATGAACATATCGATCAACGTGTGCGCAGTACTCTTCTTTTGGCTTCCAACAGTGCACTTCGAAGGTCGAGCAATGGTATCTATACAGAGTTCACTGGTAGCTTTAGCGAGTACTTCTTTATGATATATGGTGAAGCAAGTTACGTAACCTTTATGATATCGCAACATCTCATACCCAACGATGCTATTGCTGAAGAATTTCAAAAGCAAAGAACGGAGATGTTTGATAATGTCACCAGGGCCTACACTATCTTTACTGAAATGTCTCATCAAGGAATAAGCGAAGTAGGTCTAAGTAACTTTGTGAGCTCTGTTACTTCCTTGATTGAAAAGATTTACCGTTTGAAACAATTTTACAACGTTCATGTTCCAGTGGGTTTGGTCATTGACACCACGATCCCTTTGCCTTCTACTATTTACCACAATTACATAAAGGAATAATGAGCCATGCTTACGACGATTATTTAGAAAATAAAAAAGACATTGTCATCTATAAACAAGAGTTTATTATAAAAAAGAGTACTGAGCAGGTTAAATACAAAATGAGAAAGGGGGATGAATTACAAATAATTTTAAGCATGCTTGACGTTTTTGACAGCAGCAGCAACACTCTTAACTACACGATCAAGGGCAAGGTCAGTTTCTTCCTTGGTAATAGTAAGAGGGGGAATGAGACGAAGGGTTTCGTAAATAGAAGTGGTTAAAAGGATGGTATCATGTTTCAAGGCTTCATTTGCAACACTGCTTGCAAAGCCATAGGGTACGCCCATGAATTCAATACCGATCATGAGACCTTTACCTCGAATATCGCATGTAACGCCCTCGGGTAAAAGTGCTGGGATTTTCTCTCTTAAGCCCTTGAAAAATTGTTCAGATCTATTCATTTTATAAACCATATCAGTAACATGAAGCTATTTTTTTTTCTTTTTTCTTTACCTTGCATTACAGTTATCCAAAAGTTTTTCCTGTTCAAACACTTGAAGAGTAGCCTTGGCAGCAGCACAGGCAATAGCGTTACCAGAGTAAGTACCACCCATGGATCCGGGGGGCTGTTGGTCCATCAATTCCTTACGAGAGACAATAGCTGAGAGTGGGTATCCAGAAGCAATGCCCTTGGCCATCACCATGATATCTGGAACAATACCAAAATGCTCAACAGCAAACATCTTGCCAGTACGACCAAAACCAGATTGAACTTCATCACAAATCAACAAAATATCATACTTGTCGCAGATTTTTCGAAGACCCTTCATGAAGTCTACGAGGCAAACGGGCTTAATAAGTTCCCATCATCAACTTTCCTTTTTTATACTTACTGTCGGGAGGTACGACATAGCCACCCTCACCTTGGATGGGTTCAATCAAGATGGCAGCCGTATCTTTAGGATCAGAGCGTTGCTTTAACACCAGTTCGAGCTGGTGAAGGGCCTCTTCACCGCACCATTCTGGAGTGAATTTCTTGGGATCGGCCTTATGAGCAGCCCATTGTTGGAAGTAAGGGAAGGGAGCAACATGAACACCAGGCATGAGGGGACCAAAACCTGCGCCATACACGGTCTTGGAAGTTGTTAGGGCCATAGTACCAAATGTACGGCCATGGTATGATCCTTGAAAGACGATGATGTTTTGTCTTTTGGTCGCATGACGCGCGAGCTTGATAGCAGCTTCAACAGCTTCAGAACCAGAGTTCCAAAAGAAAAAAGTGTCTAGCTTAGATGATGGCATCTTGGGTAATAAACCTTCGATAAGATCAAGCATTGGCTTTTGAAAAAAGATGTTGACTTGACCATGAGAGAGGTTAGCAGCTTGCTCTTGAACAGCTTTGACGACAGTAGGATGACAGTGACCTAGTAGATATAAGTAAAAATAATTTAATTTGCTTTTTTTTTTTTTTTTCTCCAAACTTTACCAGTGTTTGTCACGCCAATACCAGTAGAGAGGTCAAGATATTTCTTGCCATCAACAGCATAAACATATGATCCTTTGGCCTTTTCGATAACGAGCTCGGTAGATCTACCGATTCCTTTGGCTATATGCTTCTTACCGAACTGAGCAAGCTTTGAAATGGTGGACATGATGAATAGGGAAAAGGTTACGGGAAAAAGAAAAATATGTCAGAATTAGGTATTTATACACTTTACTGCAAGGCTTTTATTTTACCCAATCAGGACAAGGGAACATCCCACTGATATCCAAGCATTTGTCAGCTACAGCCAATCATTTCAGATCGGCTTCTATAAAAAGCATCTGCTTATCATTAGTTTTATTTGTTCTTCTTCTCAAACAGGTGTCGTGCGAACAATTCGACTGTTGACAAAGCGAAGTCAAGAAATGTGGTACAGGCTCCAAGAGCCGCGCTTTTATTTTCCTTTTATATTAATATAATATATAACACTAAAGATATCTGTGATTCCCTTTTCCCTTTATACCTTCAAATAGGCGTGTATTATATGGAATTCAATTTTTTTTTTTGGGAGGGATTGTAATTAAGTAAGCTTAGCCAAAGTGACCTAGTTGGCGAAACAGAGACGGAGGATGTGGTTATAGACCTTCGGGCCGCGCTTTTATTGTCATAATTATATAAAAAAATAATTTTTCTACATTCTAAGTCCCTTATACCTGAAAAGCCGCGCATTGTGGTGTAACAAAATGTCAAATGGATTATCTCAAGAAGAAATCAACGTTTCAAGATGGAGGGCGTTCCAGCACTGAGGGAATTGATAGAAGAGAACGACTACATATGCAAGATAGACCTGAAGGATGCGTATGTGGTAGTGCCATTCACAACGAGTCCCGGAAATATCTTTCTTTCAAGCACCAAGGTGTTGTATACAGATATCAGCCTCTGGCATTTGGATTGAGTGTAGCCCAAGAGTATTTTCAAAGCTAATGCGATTTGCAATGGAAGCCATCCGAGCCAAGGGTATTCGAGTAGTATATTACCTGGACGATGTCTGTTTGTTAGCAAAATCGAAGGAAGAGATGAATACCAATGTGCAAGTGGTGCTCAACCATTTGACGCAACTAGGGTTTATCATCAACTACAAGAAGAACGACTTGGAACCCAAGCAATCGCATGATTTCCTCGGATTCACATTCAACAGCAACAAGATGGAAATTCGTGTGTCACCAAAGATTTCCAAACTAGTGAGCCGAGTTCGTCAACTGAAAGATGTGACAAGGAAATTCTCGTGCAGATGGATAGCGAGCTTATTAGGGAAGATCACAGCTATGATACCGGTAATGGGGGAAGCACTACTCAAAGTACGGTTTCTACAGAGAGATCTGGCCTGATCATCGAAAATTCAAGAATAAAACTGGGAGAAGAACTGTGAGATATCGACACAAGCATGAAACGAGTTGAATTGGTGGATAGAGAAGGCAACATTAAAGAACGGTCTGCCCATACGGTCAACACAAAACGACAAGGAGCCGAAAGTGGAGATATATGTGGACGCCTCAGACACAGGCTGGGGAGTAGCATCAAACCAAATACGAACAAACGGATTCTGGTCCCAGGAAGAAAGAGAAACTTTAATCAATGCAAGGGAGTTGAAGGTAGTTCTGTTTACGATTCAAATGCACGCAAGAAGAAACCAAGGCGAGCTATTTCATATTTACGCCGACAATATGACCGCTCTAAAGCATACAAAGAAGTCGGGCGGGACAGCATCAGCCTTGTTACAGTCATTGACGTTGGACATACAGCAGCTTATAATAGAGAACCATCTTCAGGTAAGGTACTTTCACGTGCCAGGGGTACAAAGCATAGAAGTGGACAATTTAAATAGACGACAGAAGCCTCTTTACGAAAGGACTCTGCCGAGACGCTTTTTCAAAATGCTTCAACAGAGATGGAAGATGGACCTGGATGCCTTTGCGTCAAAGGAAAACACCCGCCTATCACGTTACTGGAATCGAATGCCCGACCCGTCTGCCCAGGCTATCGACGCCTTCAAACAGAGGTGGCCTCGGAAGGGCCTCTACTTGCACCCTCCATGGAAGTTGGCTCCACAGGTATTGAGGAAACTACAAGAAGACAAGGTGAAGACTGTGGTAATGGTGATCCCAGCTTGGCAGACACAGTTCTGGTGGCCATTGATGCTTCGCCAATGCTTAGAAGGCCCGATCAAAATGCCAATCAACAAGACTTGGTGTTTAACCGCTTGGAGATTATCAGGGCACATCTACAGAAAAAGGCAAGGATGTCAGGTAGCGTAAGTGAGTTTCCATCACATTCGAACAAGATCAGTACGCACAACAACTATGATATTCAATGGAAAAAATGGGCAGAATGATGTGTAAGACAAGTACCAAGAATAGATCCTACCGCATACAATCCTGGCATAGTAGTAGAGTACCTAGTTCAGAACAAACAGTTTTCATATCAGCATCTCAACGGTATTAGATCAGCAATAGCATCTGTATTTCAAGTATTACATTCCGACAAACCATCCTTAACATCTCATGAAAGGATTCTACAGTTTTTCCAGGCAAAAAGGAGAATCGACCCAAAGTTCCCAAACTATACGAAGGAGGTGTACAGTCTGACACCTATAATCGACATGATAAGGTCTTGGGGACCAACGAAAGGTCTTAGACTAAAGAGATTACAAGAAAAGACAGTTTTACTTTTAGCTATGGTGACCATGTGGCGACCAAGATCTGACCTAGGCAGATTACAATATGAGGGTGTCCAATTTGAGATGGACAATGAGCAGAAAATAGCTGGTGTCACGCTGTTAGCCAAGAACTCCAAGAAAATCACTCCAAAACAATCTAAGTTCTGAGTCATTGACGAGGAAATCGTTTGCCCGGTAAAGACTCTTTGGTATTTTGTTGAATGCACTAAGGACAAAAGAATTCATCTAAGGATTTGAATTTTAATTATTTGAACTATTCACTCACATAAGTTATAGGCTGATGGAAATATAACGATAAATGAGACGGCCGAGAGAGATATCAAGAAACAAAAGGTAAACTAATAGTAAACAACATTCTTTATCTGTTACAAACTTATTACTTTTTATTAGACCAACCATAAGGGCAAGGGAGAGACTGAAGAGGCTGATTTCAAGCAAAAATAGGTGGATTTCTTGGCTGATGCTGAACAAAATAAAAACTTCCACCATTACAGGTAAAAAATATAGGAATTGATTTAAAAACTTATTTAATAAACTTGACTGTAGCCCCGAGAAAAACGGTGTGGCCCTTTTGGGTGCAAAGCTATCGCCACGCCTGTTGTATTCAGCTTTAGTGTTATTGAAAAAAGGCTATTAAGTCGATGACTTGCGAATTAGATTCTTTATTAAGAAGAGCAGAATATTATTATATTGAGTGAGGGTTTACTTGAGTAGAGAATCTATGACTGCTATTTATATTATTGTCGTCACTGACATTATTTATGCATATATTAATATTGTTATACTAGTAGCTACTATAGTTGTTATTATAAGTTATTCTTATCAGATGCGATAGAGGAATGTAAAGTAGAATGTATGCTCTACTGTAAGATTATACTCGAGTTATTATAGTGATTATCTCATTAAACACGCCACCACCCGAACGCAGACAAAGAGATATACCGTCATTTGAAGAAGCAATTAAAACCATCCGAAGCAAGTGACATTTGGATGGAAGCGAAGAATTATATCGGTGATATAGTTGCTGCAGTAAATATATTTGATGTTCAAATCTTCAAGTTCAGTTTCAAGCAACCAATATGTTATTATTTATTATTCTTAGACTAATGTTGATGAGTTTGAAGAGAATATTGAAACCAAGACATTTGTAGAAGATAAAAAGAAAATATGCCGATGTATCAATGATATTTGTAAAATCATGTATGTATAATATTATTAGAATCATTCCAATAATAAGCTAATTTTTTATTTGGATTAGGGCCAAGATTTACTTAAAAAGACCTTCAATATCACTATCAGAATCTGTATATAATACCAACATGATCTTTCCTTGTTTCGAAGCAATGCTTGCCATGATAAAGAAAAATGAACATGCACCATATTTCATCCCTGGTGAAAGTGAGCTTGCTGCAATGGCAGTACAGTTAAAGAAAATGGGATTTAAAGTAGACAAAAGAAAAATATACAAGGCCGATGAAATCATACGCTTAGCAGAACTCAGAGATCTAGAAGTCCTTGTTTTAGAAACAGCAGGTGCTTTTGGTCATGATGACCATGCCAAAACATCCTTTGACAACTCAAAGGGCATGTTTGCCTTGCTAGCGATGCTGAAAACTGTAGCCGACCACTACAAATATGCGTCTGTTGAAGAGTTTAGAAAACTCAAACTCTATTTCGTGCAGCCAAGTGGTAGGCAATAGTACAAACAACCTTTTATTTATTTGTGCTAATCATATTAATTGGTCACTACTAGACAAACATATCCGACTGTGGTCCATGCAATACACAGAGCATGGGATATATAACTTTGTCCGGGAGAAGAAAATCTTGGTGGGAGAAGAATTTGAAGAAAGGAGAGAGTACATCACTTCATTATTCAATTTTTTCTTGACCTTGAAGGTATATTCCTGATTCTAAACGATTGAGAAGAAAAATAATAGCAAGTCTAATTTAATTATTTAGAGCTATCTCGAAGAGACAATGAAGACTATTGCTGTTTTGAAAAGCCAGCATGAGGAAAAGGAGAGGTGTAATGACAGCGAAAACAATAGCCAAGAGGTTCTTCTATCAGACATAATATGCCCAAGGATTTTCAAGTTGGGTTATACAGTCTTTCCGGAAAGTAAATTCGTTGTCACCAAGAATATTTTTGTAGTATCAGCCTTGACATCCATGGAGATACTGTATTTCCAAATTGAGATGTCGTATTGAAACCGTTGTAATGTTATCAGAGTAATAACAAATACAAAAAGAATATGGCTCATTATCTCATTTGACAGTAATATTAACAGGTGGGCTGTCTTGGAGTTCACAGTCTATTTCTAAAAATAAGACATTGATTTTGATTGGCTGTGACATTACTTGTTGGAAGCACTGTATATGCTACATTTAAGCTAATATTTACTTCAGTTTAAACTATATATGGATCTCTCTATAGAGCATATAAGCCTGGTTTAATCAATGACATGCACATTCTCACTCTTTTTAACATCTTTCATGTACCTGGCTGTAAAGATATCAGCAGTATGAACCACGGATTTCGTGTTCATCTTGCTTATTATCATAAATAACCAGGACAGACGTGCTCCTGGCGAAGAGCACATGAAAGTATTCATGTTATTTTGGAAACATTTTAGATATAATTGAGTGAAAAAGGCATTATTATTTGTACTGAATCATGCTCCTACTGGTACGTTTTATGATATTGCCAAGTATAACATATTTCGAGGGTAACTGCCTCACTTTCTTCTCTTTATACTCTCTTATGCTCAATTTGATTGAGCAACTCAAGAGCAAAAAATCGACTGTAACCTTATTTTAGAATAAAGAACATCAATGACCGGAATCAGCCAAAGCATTTAATAACCCCTAGTGAAGTAAACTTTCCCGACTCACTGCATATTCTGATTGACCATTTGCGTAAAGTAGCTTGTCAAAGGCTTTTCTGTTACTGCACAAACAAAAGAATAAGTTGATGAATAGCATTACACATCAGAGACTTATTGACAGCTATTTTAAAGTATATGTTGTTGCTATAGTAATATCAGCATTTTAGTTGTTTTTATGTATTGTAATCAAAAACGAGAACAGTGAAATGCGCAACTCTATTATACTCGAATAGTGTAATAGCTTATCTCATTATTAATAACTGCTTTAGATTAGCTCAATTCATTTAATCTTTGTAATAGATACAGTCTAATATTTTATCGACACATATGTATTTCAGGAGTAGATGGCCATGGGACATAAATATCCAACGAAACTAAAAGCACATTGAGTGTAACCTTGACGACAGTCATTTGTTCATTAGCAAGACGTCAAAGTTGAAACAAAGAACTTTTGCTGACACTCTCGGCTCTATTTCTTAGAAATGAACAGGTTGACATTTATTGTAATGAATATGAAATTCTATGAGAAATGGGTTTTCAGACAAAGTAAGGCCACACTAGGCTAGTATCACAATACTCCCTTTCAAAGCCCAGGACTTGCCTCCTTTACTCATGAATTAAGAAATAATGGGATGTTAAATACTTTACAAAAGTTTCAAATTGGCTCAAACTACATTGTTTTGTACGCTTTTACTGCATCTACGGTCTCCCTTTATTAGAAGTCTTGCCAATCAGTTTCAAGCGACATCCAAATCCAAGTTTATTTTGTTTTTGAGTTCTAACCAATCATCATGAACATATGAAAAATCGAGAATTACCATAAAAAAAGGCAAAATCGTTTAAGTATGATGACAATCAATGGCGATGACACTCCGATTTCGGAGAGACACACTGTGTGTCTATGTATATTATAATTCAATGAGGATGCGAAATCTTTGGAATAATTTAAGTCACAATCTAATATAGTATGCTTCATGTGAGTGGGTCCCTGAACAATTTAGCTGACAAGTAAAAATTGTGTCAGGTGTTACCTAGAAACAAAATACAATCTGTCAACTAAACTGCTTAGACAAGTTTCTATTTCTATTTTATGTAATTGCTCATGTTTTGCCAAGTTAAAATAAATAACCAACTATACAAACACACATCATATGTACATAGTTTATTGACACACATATTGACGTCATAACTAACAACGATATTGGGACCATCAGTTGCATTTACCTATTTGGGCTGAGCATTTGACAACCTCTTTAAGGATATGGATGTGATTTATAAGAAGCAAAAGAATGTTAATTTATTAAAGCTAGTAGTTAATTATTATAGGTTGATAGACATATAATTAAGCTATTTTATTAATTAGCACTATTACATGACTTATCGCTTGGGCCATTCATTTGTTAAAACAAAGCGCACTAAAAGGGATCGCCGTCTGGACCGGTCCCAGTAGCCTGTTTCAGATAGGCCAATTCTTGGCTCGTGCCCAGAACCATTCCGGCTCCGATGATTGACACCTTTTGTCATGGCTTCTCTTCTCAAAAAAGTATAAAAGCACAGCCTTTCTATTTCTTTCTTTTCTTTTCCCTTTTTTATTATTTATATAAAAATGGATATTCACAGCTTACTTAACCATTCATCAGAACAAGACAATGGAAAGAAACATAAAAGAGAAAATAAACCTTATGCTTGTTCATGGAAGGACTGTGCCAAGTTATTCCGTCGCAGATCTGATCTTGCAAGACACTTACGGATACATACCGGCGAACGACCCTATTCATGCTCATGGAGTGGATGTCCAAAACGATTCATACAACGATCCGCCCTGACTGTTCATTACAGAACACATACAGGTGAACGACCTCATATTTGTGGATACGAAAATTGTGATAAATCGTTTGGAGATGTGAGTGGCAATCTATTATATATCACTAGCAACTAATCAACAGACTATAGTCCTCTTCTCTAGCTAGGCATCGCAGAACGCATACGGGTAGTCGCCCCTATATATGCAAAATATGCGGCAAGAGTTTTACACGTAAATCCACACAAACTCGACATGAGGATTATACCCATGGCATATCTAGACTTTCTTCCCCTACTAGTTCGGGATCAGACCTAGAAGATGAATGTAAAAGCTTACCCAATCTGGATACACCTTATAAATGGGGCACTTTTATGATATGGCCAACTAGATCTACATTGGATCATCCTAAAGGAACTAACGAACACCTGTACACACAACCGTTCTTTCTTTCATCTCATCCCTCAGCATCTGTTATTTAATACCCCCTTCAATAATTAGAAATTTTGTATTGTATATAAACCATACCTTAAAAAAAACACCATAGCAATAAATCTTCATCTGAAAGTGAACCATGTAGTGGCGTTTTTTATACATAAATGATAAGTATCTATGCATACCTTGGTGTTATTACATAATAATAATAAAAGGGGAGCCATGCATTGTACGAGCATAAATAAAGGGTAGATATCATTGAATTTTCATATGAATTGATACAAAACATTCCTTGTTTTCAAAACTAAAATTCGTTCTTTAGTAAAATGAGAGTATCCTTGTATTTAAATGTTTAATGCTTGTGTCTTTTTTAATGTATTTTGATTAAGAAAAGGAAATGGTATTTATATGAATAGGAAATGAACAAAGAGGTGGAGATAAAAAAAAAAGCTTTAAATATAAAGATGTTATGTTATGCATTTAGCGAATACTCTTGCTTCTTCTTAGTTGTATCTCCTTCTTTTCTGTTAAGCGTGCACTTTCTGACGCAAGTGGTGCCTTTCCATTTGATTCAAAGATTCTCCAGAACTTCAAGTTTTCATCTGCCGCTGCTGTTGCAAGAACTTGTCCATCAGGACTCAAGGCAGAGTGTAAAATTCTAGTTTCGTGTGCGGGAATATCTATAATCTTGTTAAGAGTTGGGTATCCCCAAACTGTCACTTGATTATGTGGCAATCCATGTGTAGACACAATTTCTTTATAATGCTGGGACCAGTGAAGTGAAGTGACTTGAGAGCCAGCATGAATCGTGTTTAGGCGGGCGCATGTGGTTGTATTCCAAAAGTGAATCTTTTTATCATCACGACCACCACCCGTAGCTAGGATACTTCGGTTCCATGGACACCAGGCTAGAGCCTAATCATAGAGTTAGAGAGGAGAATCAAATTAAGAATTACCCTATATACCTTGACAGCGCTGACATGGGTACGTTTAGTGTATTTTGGTGTCGTTGTTCTGGCATCCCAGATGTTCACAGTGTTGTCATTACCACCACTGGCAAGCAATTCACCATCCCATCGCCATTTGAGACCGCAAACTTCATCAGCGTGACCATAAAGTTCTCTGACAACGTGTTTTGCCAGTCGGACGTCATGACTAAAGATACTGCCATCACGAGCTCCAGATGAGATGATATGCTTGTCCCAAGAAAGAACGCCCACTCGGCAGTCTTGACCTTTCATTGAACGCAGCTTTTTGTTGGCTTGCACATCCCAAATTTGGGTATCTCCTTTGGTTGTGCCTACTGCAAGGTAGGTGCCGTCTGCAGAATAGGATAGTGAAGCGACGGGGTCATCATAATCGTAATTAAGAGCTTGGATCGTGCCATTATCAGCACTCCAAAGATAGACGGACTTGCCAAGGCCAACGGCAACTACGTTGTGACAAGACCAATCGAGAACATTGAGGTAATAGTCATCGGCCATGTAGGGCGCGTCTAGAATCTTTTCTGGAGAAGTAATGATATGTCTCTTTACTGAAGATGAAGTGCTAGTATTGAGGGTGGGTTGTGTATTTTTGGTGATATCGACTTTAGCAGTAGGTGGTGGGGCGGGGCCGTAGCGTAAGATACGTTTATCGGGATATATACCACAAGCATTTGCTACTTGTTCTTGGTAACTTTTTGACCCGACAATGTCAAAATAACTTGTCGGTTGTGTCTTGCTCATAAGCACTTGGGCAGAGTGCATATCTGCAATCCCTGGAGTAAGACGATCATACTATATACAGAAAAAAAGTATGTTTAGAGTCACTGATACGTATTTATAAATAAATATCTGTATGTATGCACACAGACATACAACTTACAACTTCTTTTGTATCAATTCGTTTTTGTTTTGGAGCAATAGGCGTATTTAACCAATGTTCGTTTGCTGTATCCAAAGAAGAGATGGCTGAGTATGAACGCTTTAAGCTAGGAGGTTGGAAGGCCTGGCTAGATGAACTGGATGAGCCTGCAGAATGAGAAGTTTTAGAGCGCATAAGGAAATCTGTAAGAGTTCGAGGGTTCTGAGACTTTGTAGATTTGGATGAAGACGAGGGTTGTGTTGTTTGCTTATTATTGTCTTTGGTCTTTTGGTTAGGGTTAGGACCAGTAAGTGGCATTTTCGTAATGGGCTTTTCGTCTAATAGAGTCTTTTTGGATGCTGAAGGAGAGGAGTAAGTGGGAGCGGACGAACACGATCTACTCAAGACGGGCCGACCAGCTGACACATCTTGTTTTCTTTCTGTGCCTTCGTTACTGGGCTCTGGTGTGTTTGATGACATTGCAACAAACTAAAAACAAGAAAGAAGGAAAAAAAAAAAAGGAAAGAGTAAAGCTGACCTTGATAATGCGGTTACAAAAGAACAAAAAAATTTGTGTGAGGGGACTGTGACAGGCTTCGTAACCGGAAACTGAAATTGTACCTGCTGATAACTACTTTATAGAGCTCAAACGTGCCTTTAGATTCTAAGAGAGAGAGTAAGAGAGAAGAGGGGTATGAATAGATTGTACATATAATTCAAGGGTATTTAAGTTTTAGTCAGCTTATCGTTTGAACCTTAATTTCAGTGGTGTTTTCTCGCGTTATTTTTTGTACAAGTTACGCGCGTGTTTTGGATCTATGTGAAGGCGTGCTATGTTTGGGTATCAACAATAAGGTTAGGTGTATATTTTAGATACAATTAATTTCAATGGCACACAAAGGTATGTTTACCATCTCTTGAGTGTGTCTATTACTTTCTATAAAGCTTATCCTGAATACAGGCTGACGCGTGTCGCGCGACTTTAGGCACTATTTACTTTTCATAAAAAATTGCCATGGCTTAATTTAGTTAGAATCCATTGGTATGGGAATAAGAGTGTAGATCTAATTTGCATAACTCAAATAAAGCATAAATCAAAAGGTATGATTGCTACTGCTAGTTCCTATTGCGGTCATAACCGTTCATTTCTAAATATGCCCTTGCATATATTGCTTAACCCTTGGCAAATAAGCAACTTTAGCACAATGCATCTCTTTTCATACATTTTTACTTGATTGAATTGAATACATTCACCTTTGATTTTAGAACAATCAGCTGCAGAAGGGAAGCATAGTCAAAGAACTAAAAGAACATGATTTAATTTTTTTTTTCAGGCACATATTCTTGATTGTGAAGAGATAAGCATTTACTAAATATAGCAGCATGTGCTTTTTTATTTCTTTGAAGGGGGAAAATCTATATCATTTGGTTGCCTAGTGACATTCATGTGTCAAACATTCTATCCAGTACTTCTCGAAGAATCCTTTAATATGCGCCGAAGAATCTCTCTATGCTTTTAGCGTTCTTTTAAACATGCTATTGTCACTTCTGCCTGCTTTTGGAATAGATTTCTTTGTGGTTTGAATGATGATCAACTAACGTTCAATTTACACACAAATAACTACTGTATTACGGTCATATGAGCTTAATGGTCATATAAACAAGTATTCTTGAAGAAATTAGCCTCTTGATGCGAGTCATTAAAAAATAAGAGGCGCTTCATGTTTAACCAATACTGAGAAAAAAAGTCCGTTTAAGATGAAAAGTATGCTCTGTGCTGTTTGTAATAAAGAAGCCTCTTTTTCCCTGGCACAACCTATCAGTCTCACAGCTTATTGTCTGAATTTAAAGCAATTTTTCAAAAAAGAAATGTCAAGTTGTCTATTCTTTTTTTTTTTTTTTTTGATGCAGTGGGTAGAAAACGTTACAGCCGAGATCGGAGGCTTTAGAGGCCTAATAAAAGACATTGTGAACAAGATCAGTGCAAATAAAATAGATCCATGCTCAGCATTACCGAGATCTAAAGGTGTTATTCTTCATGGCAAACCGGGTGTAGGAAAAACAGCACTGGCAATCTCTATTTCAAGTAATGAGGATCCATAAATAACAATAATGTAAAACTCATGTCAAATTAGAGCATTCGGGTCAACCTTATTACATGTTGAATAGCTCAGATATTTTCTCTACAGGTTTGACTTTGGTCTTTCTTGTCTTTTATGCTAAACTACCTGCTTTTAGAGGAAGGAGCGAGTGAAATGAAGCTTGTGCAGCTCTTTGAGAAAGTAGAGCAGCATGAGGCAGCTATACTTATTATAGATGAAATTGATATCATCTCTGGAAGAGCATCAACAAGGAAAAGCAAGCTTGATATCCGTATATTCTCTGTCCTTTTGCATCTAATAGATCAGCTAGGAAAGAATGGATTTATTATAGGTAAATAAAAAGACATACATTTAATAATTGCTTATGCAAACTGTGCGAATAGGGACAACCAGTAGATTACACGCCATTGATCCTGTGTTTACAAGATCTGGAAGGCTTGACATGGTAGTAGAAATAGCAACCAAATTACCTCAACAAAGATATGAAATATTACAAATCATAACGAAATGTAACATCTATCAACAGACTAGACCGCTTTGAAACTGACAACTTCTTATAGCCTTACCATTTGAATCTGCTGATGAACAGAATACGATATTAAGAGAAATTTCAAAAGTGACGCATGGATTTACTCCCAGTGACTTACAAAGTGTTTGCTCTCAAGTTATCTTTCAATTAATCAGACAGCAAACAGAACAAAAGGATCAAACAGCCAAATTACATCATTTTATGCAGGCATTGACTGTTATAAGGCCATCTAGTTTAAATGAATTTGGATCAAGAGTACCACTTGTTACCTTCTCTGATCTTTATGGCTTGAACGATGTCATACAAGAGCTTAAAGCATGTGTCATCGAACCCTTCCATCACCCAGAAAGGTATATACAACTTGGCATTATGCCACCCAAGGGTATCTTACTACATGGACCTACTGGCGTGGGCAAAACAATGTTATGTTCAGCATTAGCCTCAGAAGCTGGAGTTAATTTTATGCTTGTTGAAAGCTCGCAAATACGGTCAAAGATAGTAGGAGAATCAGAAAAGGCTGTTGCTAAACTATTTGCCCAAGCAAGAGCAAACTCACCTTGTATACTCTTTATCGATCAGGTATACATTCATACACACATACTCTCTTGGTTAACTAATACGCTCTTTCGTTCTCTCCTATAGATTGATATGCTACTGCCTAAAAGAGGCACCAGTCAGTCCACTGAAAACACCAGCGATCGTATTGTCACCAGTTTTTTAACAGGTAAGATATCAAAGTAATATGACAGCACATACTTATTTGTAAAAAGAAATGGACGGCCTATTAACAAAGACATTGGACAACAACAACGCACAGATTGATCTTCTTGTCATTGCAGGTGGGTTTACAATAAACTCAATAATCAATACACTCAATTAATTCTCCCTTAAAGCAACTAACCGCATTGAGACAATGGATCCAGCAGTACTCCGGCCTGGTAGATTTGATGAGCGTATCCATATACCCTTACCAGATAGCACTGTAACCAAAGAAACAAAATAGTCATTTAAAAAAGGCTGACTTTCTTTTTCTACAGCAACGTTTACAAATTATCAAAGGCATTAGCTCCAAAATGCCAATAAGCCTAAATGATCAAGAGATAAACGAGCTAGTCCAACAAACGGACAAATGGTCAGGTAAGAAAATAAATAAAGAGAAAGATATCAACGACTCATCAAAATAATGATAGGAGCACAACTAGACAACTTGTTTAGAGAAGCAGCTATGGTAAGCTTGAGAGAGAATGTAAATAATACAGAGGTAAACATCACCCCCTATCCATATTGACAGCATATTAACAGCAAACTAAAACACAATAATTCAATAGATCAAATTGTCACATATAAAATCAATCCTTCATAAATAATATCCTTATCTGCGTCCTCTTCCACTTGACTTTCCACCTCTTCTTGCAAGTGCTGGCACAACCCTTTTAACTCTTTTTGATACTGGCGCTTCAACAGCATTATTATCTGATTCATACAATTCATAATGTTCGTCTGAGAGCTCGTCAAGTTCTTCAAGTTCATTTTCTCGTACTTTAGCTTCGATCCACTCTAAACCAATCTGCAGATTTTCATTCCCAGCGTACATATGATGAGTTCTTTGGTGCAAGTATGCTCTCATCTGCCTGCAATCTTCCGCGAGCATTTCAGTAGAACGGGTTTTGTTGCATTTATAAAGATAGATCGAAAAGCATAATAATTCAATGCGCTTCCATATACACTTTGATCCATCAGTAGGGTGTTTCAGGAATGCAGCTACACAGCTTGGCTTTTGAATGATATTGATGAGTTTGCGAAGAACTTGGCCTGTGGCGTCAACCATTTCCTGAGGAATGGCTTCAGAGCTGCTAATAAAAGTCTGTAGCTGAAGTGGTGGCGCTTTAAATCCGTTCCTGCCAGACTTAAGAACACACAAGATCTGAGCAATAGTCTGAAATACGTTTGCTGATCCGCGTTTAGGCAAGACTTCCTCTAATTGGGTATATTCTGCAGTTAATGCGTTGCACACCTTGGCTATGGGTGTATTGTTGGCACGCAATTTCTCAGCTGTGGTCAAAGAGACACCTAGTTGGATCCTAAGGAAAATCTTGTATTCGTCGTCTTCGTTCAAATCTGTATATTCAGCTACAAGTCATAGGACAAAGAAGCGTGAGTAAACAGGGCTTGTAGCACATGTCAGTAGTCTTACCACATACGATTTCATGAGCATTAAATTGTTCAATAATCTCTCTACTGAAGTATCTTCTTTCAGTATTATGCTGTGCTACAAACATCAAAGAGGTTAATGATACGCTTTTCTTTTCTTTTTTCACGTTTGACTTACTACGCCTCATAGCTTCCAAATTCGCATTTTCAACAGGAGAAGGACCAAAGTAATACTCCACTGGTTCGCCTGAAGAATAATCAATATATGGAATCTCATTGGTCATGAATCTATGTGTAAGGGAAAAAGCTTAGTTAAAATGTCAAGATAAAAAAAATAAGGTCCCCTTACTTATATATAGACGTTAGTCTCTGTTTTCCATCAATACATACACGTACTTTCTTACTTTTAATTTGACGTATAGCAAATAGCAGAGGAGGCACATGATAATTGTTCAAGAGAGAATCGATCAGAGCACGCATTTTGCCAATGTCCCAAACAACTTCTCTTTGATAAGGTGCATTCTATATAGCGAATAACGTGTCAATGTCAAAAAAAAAAGGATCATCATACTCTCCCCTTACCAAACAAATGAGCTCCTTATCGATATGTTCTATAATAAATAGCTTAGACATCAGGAACTATACACTTAATATACTGGTACCTTTCAATTTCCAGATGGGCATGGCCCTAGACTTTGGTCTAGGAAGCGCTGTTGGAAGCATACTGAAATAAGCAAAAAAAGAAAGAAAACGAGACTATTTATTAACCCAGACCAGTGGATCTATTTTTTCCTATATTGACAAGATGGCTACTGTATGCCATAAACAAAAAAGCCCAAAGGACAATGAAACTTGCTCTCTCTCTATTTTATATGATACTCAGACGGATGGGTGTTTGGATATATATTGTTGACTACAAAACTGATTCTTTGAAGCCATAGTTAATCCCTTTTCAATTGGTGAAGTAGACCTAGGACTTGATTGTACCACAATACAACAACCAAAAGAGGATCATTTAATTCCAGAATGACTATTTTGTTGGTTCCTCTTTGATTATAGTCAAAACTATTTTGCTTAATTGTATCTATTGATTATGTCGCCTCTTTAAGCACTAGATTATTAGCTGAATGACGCGTGATTGTTCTTTATAAAAGAAAGAACAATGATCGAGAGATCGTCTCCTTTATGTTCATTAATGTGCTTTAATGAACAAATCAGATGTTGATCTTAAAGGTGATCAAGAAGCATAATAAATTTGTTGATTTCATTGTTCAAAAGAAAAAGTAAACATCGTATATAAACAATGTCAATTACAAGATGATTGGCCAGTAGCAGAGGCGAATGAATCCCTTTGTTTTATATGAGGCGAGCTTTTACTATAGGGTAATCAAGATGGCATCCTTTTTTTTTTTTTTTTTTTTTTTTACTAATATCTAGTTTGACAGTGTTATCTCTATATCATCAAAATAAATCAAAAATAGACTAGCATGTCCGTATGTTTTATTGATGAGTCATCTATGCAAATCAAACATAAGAGCAGATAAAGAAACATAACATGTACTATGATACCAGAACTGTTAATAAAGACTTTTAATATCTCCTTAAGTTTGTTCTCCCTTTTTTCTTTTCCTTAAAAATAATAAACTGTTTCTATTTATTTTTCTGCCTTTTGTTTTTACACAGAATTCTAATGGAGCATTCTCTTCCCCCTTTTTTTGTTAAAGGTTTGAACATGAGTGCTATATAGCTTTGTGTGCGTTGACATTTATTTAACAAGATAATAATATACATCCTACGACTATCATTGATGATGATTGCACGAGCAGTATCAGCAATCATACTATCAATTGCTTCTTAACCAATGACTCAACTTACTTGTTACCGCATAGCAATATCAAAGACTACAAATCAATAAAGTTTAGTGTAGATAGTGATGACGATAGTAGCAGTCGAGTTTATTTTAATTCTTCTCGGCGAACATCTGCGAGTATATACTATGCATATTAATTACAATAAATTAGATGCACTTATATTTTTTGTCTAGTTCCTTCAGACATCATTGTAGATAGTGAGTCTAACACAAATAGTTGGCTGCTCATTAGCAACCGCTCAAAATATTATATACCAATTCTCCAATGGATCCCGCACTACACAAGGAATGACTTCACTCAAGATTTACTTTCCGGTTTATCTCTGTCGGCACTTTTCATCCCACAAGCTTTATCATACGCAACTGGTCTTTGTAAGATACCGGCTATTCACGGATTATACACCATCACAGTCACCACCATAATTTATGCCTGCTTAGGCACGTCATAGTAAGTGAAGACTTTAATTACAACGTCAGATCTAAATATAATTCATTTAGTCAGTTATCAGTCGGACCTGAAGCCTCCGTCTCGCTGATGATCGGATCTGGCATTACGTATCATCAAGCCATGATGAAACAATCACTAGAACCTGAAGCAGCAGCAGCCATCGCGAGCCTCATGGCGCTATTTGTTGGTCTCTTTACATTTATCTTGGGTATTTTAAGATTTGGATTCCTTGACAGCTTAATGAGTAGATCCCTAATGAGAGGCTTCATCACTGCTGTCGCTGTTGTTGTATTCATGCAGCAACTCATTGTGCTACTTGGCCTCGGCAGCATTGCACAACGATCAGGGCTTATGCCGGATTCGAGCACACTGCAACGCGCTATATTTTTATTCAATCATTTTGAAGAGTACCATCCAGTAACCACATTGATGTCAGCCAGTGTAATCACAACATTAATTATATCACCCTGCATAAAACGTTGGTGGAGAGGGAAAAGGGGAGGAAAAGTTATCCGACGCATACCCGAAGTACTGCTCGTCACTGTCGTCACCACGGTTTTGTGCAAAGTGTTCCGATTGGATCAAACTGGGCTCGACATTTTGGGAACTGTAGGCAGATCAGATACCGTTGTACATGCTCCCTTACCGACACCACGGATACCGTCAATTCCTGCCAATGTCGATTTTAATGCAATCATCGCCAACTCCATTATTATTAGCATCATCGGCTTTGTAGAATCAATCGCAGCAGCAAAATCTTTTGCTAGAAGACATAACTATTTTGTGAGCTCAAACAGAGAACTTGTGGCGCTTGGGGTTGCAAACATTGTGGGAAGCCTCTTTCAGGCCTTTCCTGCATTCGGTTCAGTAAGTATATGAATGTGTACAATGTACCACTTTTATTTACACACTATATAATACTTAGTTTCCTAGAAGTAAGCTTCATGAATCAGTCAAGCCAAAGACACAAATGTCGAGTCTGCTGTCGGGCGTGATTTGCATCATTGTGACCATGCTCTTTTTGCCTTATCTCTATTTTTTACCGCATGCAACGTTGAGCGGTATCATTCTTATGGCAGTTATTGCTCTCTTAAAGGAGCTACCTCACGATCTAAAGTTCATGTGGCGCGTGCGCGCATGGAAGGATATTGTATTAATGGTTGTTACGTTTTCAGCAACTGTGCTGTTTTCCTTGGAAATTGGAACAGCCATATCCATTGTACTTAGTCTTCTTGCTACCATCAAACAGTCAAGTTGTCCTCGTATCACTGTTTTAGTAAGTGTAATTATACAACCAAGATATTTACTCATGATAAACAGGGCCGAGTCAAAGAAACATCTTATGATTTTAAGCCAATACAAGGCTCAAGAGAAGAAATAGAACATCTAAAGGATATTTTGATAGTTAGAATAGAAGAACCTTTGAATTTTGCAAATGCAGGTAAATATGAAAAAAAAAAGTGGTATTTATGATCATGATTGGGTTAACGAGCTATACATAGTTCAATTGAAAGACAGGATTACAAGGTTGGAAAAATTTGGTGATATGGCAGTTCATCCATCCGAACAGCCTCGTAGGAATAACCTGTTATATATCATTCTAGACCTTGGCGGTATGGCTTCGATAGACGCAAGGTAAATATAAAGTAGGTTGATCAGCATGTGTGTTTTAATCTCGAATATATGACAGTGCTGTACAAATGCTATATGAAACTATTCAATCCTATCACAAACAAGGAGTACAGGTGCTCCTGGCCAATGGTTGTTCTAATGCCATAGCATTACTTGATCGTGCTGGTGTATTGGAGCTTGTTGGACCGCATTTATTATTTGATAATGTAAAATGTGCCATTCAATCCATTGAACAAAACATGTTTTACACGACCTTTCCAAATAGTTTGGCGCTTGAATATTCTCTAACATGTTAAATTTTATTGTGCGATACATGTATTAAAAAAAGTCATTGAAGTATCAAGTAACTCCTGAAGCATTTTCAGATACCGCCTAGATGCATTCACTTTTTTTTTTGCTTTGATGATATGAGATAAAAATCAGGATTCTGCCTTATCCATAGACAAACATCTATAGGCCTCTAGTGTCACATTACGCATTCTATGTTTATTCGCAATAATGAGTTGCAGGTTTGTAATGATGCTGATGTCCCCTTTACCAATGGTGTCACAGTTACCTAATTTAATGTGTATTATCATCGAATACAATAGACCTTGCCCTTTCTTCTGAATTTTCAAAATTGAGAGATATTCTAGTGTTATTTCAAGATTTTGAACAAGATTTGAATGGGAATATATATTATATTCATTTATTATAAACCTTTGTTATTTGTGTAAGTGATTCCCGTGCCATTATTACAAGTTCCAAAAACAGTCTCATTTTAGAGTAGGACATTCAATGACATTGTGATACACAGCTCCATTTTGAAGACAGACTCTTTTTCTCTTTTTTTTTTTTTTCCTATTTTTGCATAATGTCTTTTAACGATCTGGAGCAAGGCTTAAGCTCCACGAATACTTTTGATGGTATCTTTCTTTCTATTCGAAAGTGCATTCTTACTCATTAACTTCCAGCTGACGAGGATAATGTTCAGTATAAGCAACTGACTCAAAGAATTGCGCAACAGATATTTCATATCAATGGAAATATATCCAGCATGGAAAGACTCGTAGGACTCTTGGGTGGTCCTCGAGATACATCTGAAATTCGAAGCAGCCTGTAACCGTAAAACTATCAACCTGTAGCCTATGGTATATTAAATATCTTGCTTTTTTTTTGTTTAGTCATGACGTTACAGAAGCGACTCGTGATCTCATAAAGAGTACAACACAAGATTTAAAATCGTTATCGACATATAATCAAAACACGGTGAATATACTTGATAATAAGCAAATCGTAAATAGACTTTTTTTTTTGGCTTAAAAAAAGACTGTTTATTCAATTGCTGTCTTAGCGTCAACGAAAACTAGAGCAACAAAAGCTCTCTAAAGACTTTCAAAAAGTAGCTAGCGCTTTCCAAAAGGCACAAAGGATATCTGCAAACAAGCAAAGAGAATGTATCAACCAATCCAAAGATATTACAGTCAGACAGTTGGATACCCTGTATTCTAATGAAGAACAACACCAACAGCACCACCACCACCAACAACAACAACAACAGATGCAATTGAATGCGTTGGATAATGAGATTGAATATAATGAACTATTAATATCCGAAAGAGAAGCCGAGATTCAAAATATAGAAGATGGCATAGTCGAGCTAAATGAAATATTCCGTAATATGGATCTCATTGTAAACGAGCAAGAAAGCGGGATACGTAAGTTATTTAAAGACACATTTAAGCGAATCTCTAATTATCTTTTATTTTTTTTTTTTTTTACTAAACAGAGAGTATCTATGGCAACATCTTGAGCGTTGCGCAAAATACCAAACAGGCTGCAGATGAATTAATGGTAGCAGATCGATATCATAGAAATGCAAGAAGAAGTATGTGTTGGTTTATGCTCATTATCACTATTGTTGGCATCTTAATTGCATTGATTCTTGTCATTGCATAAACTTTATTTATTATCTAGAATAGTATCGTCAGAGATAGAAAGCGATTTTTCCATTACTTGATGTAAAAACTTCTTATTCGCTTCAGCCTCTGATATCTCTAATAAATCCTCTTCCTCCAAGTTGTTATCGTCCTCTTCAAATCCAGTCAAAAGTGGATCATTTTCATATGTGGGCATGAGATATTTGGGATCTTTCCAAAACTCTGCATCCGTAGACAACTTGGTGATACATTTGTTTTCTTTCAAATGTGCTGGTAAATCAGATAGGTTTTCCAAGACGGATCCACATGAAAAGCAAGTGTTGAGTGAGGATTGATGACGGATGTAATTGATGAGAACAATAGTTTGATAAAAGTCAAGGCCTATGCTAAGAGTTAGACACCTTGTTCATGACGTTCTTTGAAAGCTTACCTTTATCTTTTCTTATTTGACTCAAGTTAAATTCATGCTCAGTCTTCATATGTTCAAGTATATCCTTTGGACAAGATAACACAGTTGTATCAAATAAACACATGGTCGACTCCGGCTCATCCTCCTCCCAATCATCCCATGTTTCTTCTCGTTTATCATCATCTTCGCTTTCATAAGCTTCACGCTCGAAGCTTTCCCAATTCTTTCCTGGTTCTAAGTAGTTGATTACATAAAATCGATCATACTGTCGATTCTTGGCTGCCACCTTGAAGTGCTTCTTCTTTCTCATGTGCTTACGAAGAACGGCTGGACTGGTAAAGATCTTTTCACAATAAAGGCACTGAAGACTATGTACAGTCAAATGAGAACACAATCACTTTCTGACTATGTTTAACTTACTTTGACAGTTTTGCTTCTAAAGTATCCAAAAATTCAGTGACATAAACAAGGTTGTCTGGTAAGCCAATATTAAAGTTGTGTTCAGAAAACATGTGCTTGAACAAGGATGTTCTAGCACCGGTGTAAGTAATGTGTACAAAGAGCTTAAATCCCTCATTTACCTGTCTTCTCCTACGATCTTGCAAAATAAACACTTTCTTGGGCACTTTGACTCTACTTCACGCTCATGTTGTTGGAATTTTAAGACCTCATTCTGGTTATTATTTTAGCAAGAGCCACTCATAATGACACACCTATTCCATAACCTACCAGCTTTGTTCTATTGATCTTTTCTCTCATCTCTTTATCCAAGCTACACTTTTCAGGACTAATGATATATACTATAGCAATGGAATAAAGACATGGTCTATATATATATATTGTAATTGGTTGCTACTTACTGCCTTCTTCTTGGGGGTCAGTCTGACCATATTCTTCAAGTGGTTTATTCTCAAGCTCCTTTGCCCATTGCTGTAGATAAGCATCCAGTGAATTATACATATGATGAAGATTCTTAAAGACAAGCTTGTGAGCCTGCTTTAGATGTGTCACAAGCGAAGTCGTATCCAAGAAGGGCGCCGGAGTCTCGCAGTTATCAAATGGACATGTGACAAAAGTGGTTGTATGGTAAGGAGGAACCGGTAAATCAATAGGATCAATGTGTCCTTCTGCGTCCTCTTCTTCAGATTCTTCGTCTTGTTCAGCTGCATGGAACGGATTGCTTTTACCTCGAGATGCTGCTGGTTTCTTTACCGAGGTAGATCGCTTGGGTTGAGGCTTTTTTCCATGAGAGTGCTTTTTCGAGTGGGTTGTGGCCGATTTCGAGGCCTGTGGTTTACCTGATTCAGACGTTTTGTTGGCAGGCTTCTTGTCTTTTCCACTGTTTGAACCGGTGGCTGTCTGATGACTGTGGATCTTTGGCTTTGACTGGCGTCTATTCCTGTTTTGAGGAGGGGATGTAGGGTGGTGAGTAGCGTGTTTGTGATTTGAAACCGTGTGCCATTCTGTGTCTTCTGCCATTTGGGTATAAACAAAGAGAAAAAGTTTCTGTTCGTTTCCACAGAAGATGACAGACTTTGAATCCCGAAAAAGGAAATTTGTATCACTCATTCTCTGTGGTACATAACTAAAGTAGCCCTTATTCTGCAAAAGAAAAATGACACTTTATATTTCTATGATAAACTAAATGTGCTCCATAGAGTTCACTCTATGTAAGTACAAGCTTATGTTATTATACCAAGTACTGACTTTAAATCAACCCTTATAGTCAAACAGAAAGCAGTTGCCAATAATTGATATTAATCTTCCATTGTTCACCCTTTTAGAAGCCTATTACGCTGAGATGTGTTTATTCACGCTTTTGTCGACATGTAAAAGGCATAAATAAGATACCTTCACTCATCACACATGTTTCTATTGTGAAGAAGGCAGCTTTTGTTTCTCTTGAGTATTTGTGTGACTTGCACCAAAAATCAACGTCATTCGCTGAATTTTTCTTTTTGTAATTTTTTTTTTCTCTCTCTTCTTTTAATACGCACACAAACTACACATATATACAATATGGCAACTCATCCACACCAGGAGTCACAACACCCACACCATCACGAACTTCAACACCCACAACCTCTAGCTCATGCGTATCAACCAGCTCCTACTGCATCAGGTGCAGCTGGTCACCCACAAGCACCTGTAGCCACTGCTGGTCAACCCGTGTTTGATTTAACAAAGTTTTGGCAAGAAGAAATGGCAAATGCTGAAAGATTTGATTCTGATTTCAAGAACCACGCGTTACCTTTAGCCAGAATCAAAAAGGTGATGAAGACAGATCAAGAAGTGAAGGTAAATAATTGATATAAAACGAGAACCTGCTTATCAACCATTTATGTAGATGATTAGCGCAGAGGTAAGAGAAATTCCTATAGGCTAATAACATGCCTGTCTGCATATCATTCTAATATCATTGGACAAACCCAGGCTCCAATACTATTTGCCAAAGGTTGTGAAATATTTATCACCGAATTGACTAAGCGTGCTTGGTAATTGAAATAACGCACATAAAACAATATATTAAAAACCAAATAGGGTTCATGCTGAAGAAAATAAACGTCGTACATTACAGAGATCAGATATAGCAACGGCTATATCCAAAACTGACATGTGTGACTTTTTGATTGACATTGTTCCCAGAGAAGAAGCAGCCAAATCTACTGCTGTTTATGAGCATCAAAATGCGTATGCTAACAATACTGCTTACTATCCACATCAATATGCTGTTGATCCAGCTACATATTATTCACAGCTACCTCAGGTAAGGGAATATTATCATGTATTTGACCTTTACTCATCAAAAAAAAAGTTTACAAGTGATCAGGTGCAACAGTATCAAATGCAATTACAACAGTTTGCCCAACAACATCAGCACCTTCCACATCAGCAGGATCCTTCACAACAAGCTCAGGCGCAACAACAGCCGCACCATCAACCACAACCACAGCCACAACAACCTTATCAAGGCCAACAACAGCAGCAGGCACAACCACAACAACAGGCGCATCAGGATCAACACGTGAACCCAAATGAACCCAAGTTAAAGAATGATCAGGCATAAATATTCTTTTTTTTAATTTTTTGACGCGAATAAAGTTATAGAGTTTATTGATAACCAGCTCCTTTAAGGTTTAAGCATGCTGTTTTTATAATCCTTGTTTGTATTTAATAGCTACAATAGGCAATCATGGACAAACATGGTTAAAAAATCTCACGACGTGAAAAATACCTCAAGAATGCCAGTACCCCCATTTTGGGGGAGAAAAAGGTATGGGGGACCTTCTTGTGATAAAGTCACAATAGAAACCGGGTAAGCCAAGGGTATTCTCTCAGTCATCATTTTGTGGTACACGCTTCTTTTGTGTTGAAATTAAATGTACCAACAGAGCTTAACATTGACTATATAAAAGCGTTTGTAATAATGACACAGTTTTGTATGAATACATTAGGATACCAAATGTTTTATTTTATGCATAAATGTTAACAAGTCATATATATATTTGATAAGGGAAAGGGGAAAGGAAAACGAGAGGAAGGGGTGAAGAGAAGGGAGATTCTATTTATTATTATGGCTATTATATTAAAGGTGTATATAAATCATAAATGTAATGATATGTACATGGTATGTAGGAATAAAAGAGAGGAATTAATTCAACAAGAACTGAATGGATGGGAGGTGTAATTCTTTAGGGGGTTCTGGACCAGATGGTTCATCAAATGGGGAATTGTGGCGAATAGGTGGTAAAGTTAAACTGGTGTAGTATGCAGATAGTGATCGAGAGGGACCAAATGTGGGTGAACTATCGGGGGTAAGAACATGGTCGCTTTCCGAGTCCGAGTGATGATAAGGATCATATGCTAAATATACAGATTGCTGCTGTGGTGGTGATGGTCTTGCTGGTGTTAATAAAATGGGTCCAGAAGCATAGTATCGCATATCTTCTGGGTCATTTGAATGTCTATTATTACGTCTACAGTGTGTATGTGTTCGGAGATGACGAGAGAGTTCGTCTGTCCTTGAGAATCGCTTTTGACAGCCGGGAAAAGTACATCCATGAGGTTTTTCGCCTGTATGAGTTCTAATATGACGCGTACGATGTTCTAGTCTTACGAATGCTTTGAAGCACATGGGACATTGATAAGGACGTGGTTTATTCGTTATCTTTTGGTGTTGTTGATACTGATAGCAAATGGACATCGTAAGTGGAATTGAAGGTAAGCCTTATAGTTCGATTTGATAAGAAATGGTAGAAAAATTTAAAGAAAGAAAGAAAGAAAAAAGAAGGGGATATTCATGATAAATTGAGGTGTATTTATATGTTTATCGGAAGGCACGTATCACTTTTTTTTTTATTTATATGTAAAGATAAAAAATCTGTCAATTTTTTTTAGTAAAGATAATTACATCTTTATTTAGTAACCTATCTCTGGCACCGGATAATAAAATTTGGTTTTATATACAGAAAAAATCGAAGAGGGAAATACGTAAAGGAGACACTGTTTGAATAAATATAAAGAGATCAAGTTTATCTTGACATATAGTATTAGTACTACTACTATAGTGATAGTAATAGTAATCATAGTGTCAACAGCACAGACATTTATTAGTATTAGTCATATTCAATTCATAAAGATAGTAAATGGAGCTGGAATATTATAGAGTCGCTTTTTGTCAACCTTAATTTATTTTTTTAGAGATGATCCGCATTATCCCACCCCTCTTTTATTATGTAATACAATTAAATATCACATGCTTCTCAATATCTTTCCGCTTTCTTTAATATAAACATAACAATCAATTCTTGTAATTTCAAAACTATATTTTTATATCTACTGTACACTCTACATAACCATAAAAGTCTTTGTTACTATAGCGACAAGTTACCTTATCTTTTTTTTTTTTTTATTCCATCTCTCATGATCTGTTGGGCATTGTATAAACTAACTCAGCCGATATCACCGATAGTAAACATTTAAAAATTTTCTATCTCTAAATAAATGACCATTGGCCAGAGTGCCCTAGGTGGTGATAAATTGTTTTAAACTGAATGGAATATGTTATACTTGCTCGTGATTGCGTCAAACGAAAAAAATTTATGCCATGATAAAAAAAGGAAACGATCACTCTAGGGTTACCCTAGATCATGCCACATTTTGTATATTGTTCATTCTCCTCTCTCTCTCTCTCTTTGCTTTCATAACGATTTAAGCCCAATGGAAGAAACAGTAAAGACGGATGAATGATTCATCTTTGTAGATGCAATCGACAGACGGGGTTATTCTCCCGAGCCATGCTTTGATATTAAGCTTGTGATTTGAATTTTATAGTATACAAATACATGAAGTGCATATAAATAATAAATAAATAAAAGAACTGTGGATAGCATGTGTTTGTATGACAAACAATTGACCTATCTTTTGACATATTTATCTTTTTTTTTTTTCTTGTTTTTATTTTTTAAAAAATAAACGATACCACAACAAATGAATGGATCATTTCTGCTTTTTCTTCCTTCATTTCAAAAGAAAAAGAAGCTTGCCTTTTATCAAATGGAAGCTTTCTTTTTTTATGCTCTACGTAATATCATTTGATGCATAGAAGAATCTAGACAAATACCCTACTACCACGGGTATTAGGGTTGGATACCCCATCGGAATCTTTTATGCAGAGTGTACCTTGGCTTTTTGTGTACATGCACTCCAGCAATCTCCCTTTATTCTCCTACAAACACATGATTTTTTTTTACATGTATATTATATATAAAACTTATCGTCTATGCAATACATCTTTAAACTTCCTTTTTCAAAAGAATATCAGGCCTACTTTATCATCCACCGACACTGTTGCCTAGCCAACAGACCATAACAACGCCTAATGCGGGTACCGTGGGTTATTTCTTGTGGTCAATGCTCTTTCAATGCAAATGCATGCAACCTTATTTCCATTGACATGTGAAGGCGGTTGATTGTGTAACAATCGTGGGTCCCTTCTAAGAACCGCCATGAGGTAGGGCGAAAAGTATTTTCCATTCACCTTGTAGATATTTAAGGGATCAAATTTATTATTAAATACCCTACTGGTTACACGCAAAAGGGGACTTGTTTCTATAGGGTGATAAATATTGACCCGCACTCTGTTAAAAAAGTATGTAGACTTTATTCAAAGTGATAACTTCAGGCAAACAAATAACAAAAGAGAGAGAGCCCATCAGAAGTAAAAGAAATGATTAGCAAATCAGTTATTACATCAATATTAAATACTAATTAAAAGAGCTTATAAAAAAAGTAGAAAAAGTAACTAAATTTATAAAGAGTTATTAATATCTTACCAAAAGTGCATTATAATGAGCCAACGATAGCTGGGGCCGAAAAAGCAAAGAAGGACGAGAAAAAAGAACAAATAAGCAAGGAAACAAGAGGAAAGAGAGGACGGGCCTAACTTGGTATGAACCAAGCTATCGCCAGCTAGCACCGGGTCGGTTTCAATTTATGGTCTATAATACCACATGTCAGTTTCTTACAAGAGTAAGAGATATAACATACCCTAGGGCTAGCCGGAGGATAGCTGATCTTACTTTGATCTAAAGAAGAAGAAAAGAAGCCAAAGTCTATGTATAAATTGAATTTCCTTACAACTTTGTTATAATGTATTGACCGCATTATATGAGACCCTCCTCTATTTTTATTTTATATCTCTCAAAAATATCAAGCTTATTTTCTATATTATTACATGTTGTCAAATTGGAAACAATAGAGAAAAGATTGATGAGCAACGAAAGTGTAATTGTTATTGAAATTGTATGCGAATCATTTCTGAAAAAAAAAAAGTATGTATAGACTTTTTTTTCAAAAGACATAGTTTATTAAAGATTTGCTAAAAAGAAGAGAGGTTCACTCGTTGCTGCTGGGTTGCTACAGTAACATGTTTTCGGTGATTTGTCGAAACAAGCGTGCCATCAGGTTCGAACCAATAAGGGGTAGCAAATTTTTCTTGTAACTCAGTTACAAGTAAGGAAGAGCAGCAGTCCTGCTGTTGCTGTCGTTGAAGTTGGTCCACATTCGGCACTTTGGACCAATCGATGGTAGCATCCCATCTTCCACTGTTCAGTCCATTGATGAACTCGTCCCATTCGCTATTTGTAAAAGTCAAGTGCAGTTTAGAGCCACTGAGCTCCTTTGTGATCAAAAGGACACCTTGTCCGACTGATTTTGCCAACTGCATCATACGTTCGCCTACGACAATGTTCCTTCTGAACGCTGCCCAATTAGAATCCGTCAGCAGCGGCTCAATCCATGGTCGATACGCCTTCATGTTGGCATTTCGATCATGGTCTTTGTTGTCCTTGGATATAGGAATGACTTCTTTGGGAAAGAGAATAGCAAAAATACGTTGAAACTGCTCAAAAGCAAGGTATAACTGAAAATAGTCTATATTGTAATAAATGCCATTTTGATTCATTCCATTATCTAGGTGTGGCTTCTTGTTTGAGTGGTCGGTAAGTATACGAAGCGCGGGCTGTAGCAGCTTCTTTCGTTGTTCATCTGTTATAAATGGATCGACAGGTGCAATATATGTTTGTTCAATCGCAAACGTAAATGGTTGCGGCATTCTGCTTGCTTTTTGTTCAAGGTCTTTAAACGAAATCATCCGTAGACGATTAATAATATCATCGCCTGAAATAAAGACAAGAGTCAGATAGGTTGCTTCTTTTTACTTTTTTTGCTTCTTACGTCTTGATTCAAAATCACCATGTCTGTGTGGGATTTTGGGTTTCTTTATGGGTGCGTTTTCCTGTATTGAATCTGTCGAATGTCGCTTACGCTTGCGCAAAAGGGATGCCTGTGTGAGAATGCCCTGTTCGGCATATCGTTGAAGTAGAGCTGGTTCGCGGTTGATACGATCTCCTTGGTAATAAAATCCGCGTTGCTGAGGTTCCACAATAATATCAGTCTGATGACCACAAGCTACGAAATCAGTCGCAGACAAGGTAGAGTGTGATGAAAAGGGTGTACCAAAGTTATGGGGCAGTGTTGTATACGCTGGACGGAAGGACGGGCGGTATGTTGCTTGAAGGAGCATGTTGTAGCTTGGGGACGATGATGAGGCTACAGATGATGAAGAGTCCAACCATCGCTGAAGGTTGCTCTCGTCTTGGCAACAAGAGACACTTGCAGGTAGTCTCACGCAGTATACATCAGAAACCTCGTCGCAAAAGATAATTCGGTCTTCATGGGCTGGTTTAATAAACTTGATATGATCACTTAGTGCGTAACATAGGCAATAGAATAGCCTGGCAAGCTTCTCTGGTGTTGGCGTCTTTCGCAAGACTTGTTTAATGATGCGGAAGAGGTCTAGCAGGTCTTCGTCTGTCAAAATATCCTCTGCAATGGGTTCAAACTCTTGAACCTCAGGGGATAATAAGCATGTATTAAGGTATCCTAAATCTTTAAAAACGTTCATCCAGTGAAAGAAGAAGAAGCAAATTATAAATGGAAAAGAACTTTTCCATCCATTCTCATCGGCGGAAACCCCGTTTTCTGGAATGCCCGCACTGAGTTTCAACGAGATGATCAGTGTTTAACAAAGGGACGGCCTATTTTTTCCTTTATTGAACAGATTGTTTAATTTCCACCGTCCAGACGACAGGAGAATCAGTATGAATTTCGATCAGATCGCTGTTGAGCACATTACAGGTACTGAGAATACCTCCAAAATGGCATGCAAGGCTGTCTATGGAAGTTACAAGTTTGTTAGACTTTTTCGGTATTCGTAATTATATTCGGTATATTTCTTCATTCACGTTACTCATATCCCATTTTAGGCCTTTTGAACTAATAACAGCTGGTGCTCCGATTGGCATAACTCCGCATGTAGGGCCTATAAATCATTGGTAAATCTATAAGCAGACCCTTTTTTTTTACTTTTTTTGTTTACCTTCCAGATCCAGCCGACAATGTATATGATGTGTGCCCTATGAATAGTTGGATGTGTACATTGTTGTTGTCAATGAATTATATTTACCTTGTCTAATAAGACAGTCATGTTTTCATCGCTCACTAGTATTACTTTTCTCTTGATTTGGTCTTTCAACAGATAGAGTACATGGATACTTGACATGGTTTGATCAAATCTTCCGCCAAGTGCGGGCGTTGCTACAATGTCATACTATGGAAATGAGCGTTACTAGTAGTAATAGTTTGAGTCTTAGTTTTTTTACTATTTCATCTCGTTCTTGTTCTTTTTCTTGTAAAAGATAAACACACTTCATAAAGTCAGTCGAGTCTTGTTCATGAATCTTAGTAATCTTGACATTCTGTAAAAAAGGAAAACAATTTTTTTCAATGACTCCCTCTTCTTCTTTTTTTGGTATGTTTAAACTTACTTTGGACTCATAAAACTCTCTGACGTCAGGTCGAATAGAATCCAAATCACCTCTAATCTCGTCGGGAATGTATCTACATGAGACCGGGTAAACTAAGGTTGTTTCTATATGAAAAAGTATCCATTACTGCTCTAGGAGTTGTTTATCATGCTTGAACGCGTCATAAAGCCTATTTGATCCTCCATCTGCGAGAAATCTAAGAGATGCTAAAGAAAGACGTCAACATGTGTGTGTCCCAAAGAGAGACAGCATGTACCATTGTGCCAAAGTCGTTGAAATGTGTCGATTTGAACAATGGGCTGGTTTAACACGATTAAACAAAACTTGTTGTTATTGTTTTGTTCTGTTGATAAAATACTGGAAAGATGCCAATGAGTTGTCATTAATGAACGAAAAAAGTGGTAAAAAAAAAGTGGTTCACTTATCAGAGAATATAGACCCTTCACAGAATTTCCAAAGAGGGAAATCAGCTCAAAGCAAGGCTCTTTTAGAAAAAGTTTCCCCTTCTGTAAAAGAAGTACCTCCTTTCTTGCTTTAATTGAATAAAAAAAAAGCATGGAGGTAACTACAGGGAGTAGCAATACGCAATTTATTTTTTTCCAAAGGGGGATATGACTCCATATCAACGTATAAACTAATATTGTCATGCAGATTCTCATTGTATGATCAATATTTAACAAACACAACCTTCTGTGATCAGAATAGTTACATATGCTATTATTTCCAATATTAAAGTCAAATAAAAAAAAAAAAAAAACAAAGGTACGAATATTTAATACCATAACCACTGGCCAACAATAAGCCAAGTCCTGGGGGTAAGTTTATTCGGTGCTCTAGATCTCTCGATAAAACAGATAAAAATTCATATACGAAAGGGTACTGTATAGCCATGGATAATGCACCTATTCATACGCATGAAAGCATAATGCATTGTTCATGAGTTGTAAACGAGAAAAAACAGCAGTATCAAGTTGGTAGGAAATGACTCTTTTTTTCGATAAAGATTCTGTGAAAAAACATATCCCTCTTTATTTTATAGAAAAAAAGGTGGTGACATATTCATGTTAAATTTTTGGTTATTTGAGAACACATTTTGGAGTAAAGAAATTGTCATGCTAGTTAAATGTTCCTAGTGATGAATCAGTAGCATCATATATGAAACACAGTCGATCCAGATTTTTTTTTATTGGCTCAATGAGATCAGAGCTTCTTGGCCTTTGCTGACGATAAAATGAGGAATCCAAAGTCGTTTCGAATTGAGTCCAATCCGCAGTAGATTTTGACATGATGATGATGTCAATCTTTTACGCGTAATAAACACCATCAATACCGATGATAGCAAGCAGGCTGTTTTATGAAGGACAGTTCTTGGTGCACTACCACGCGCACAACCATTGTTTAAAACATGACATCACGTTTTTATTCGAACAGTGAATTTGTAAAATAGTGATATTGCAAATAGACGAAGTAGTTTGCGGATTGTGCGCGAACTGTAGACTTCATACTATCGCATGTTTGATGAAGGGAAACACTACGCACACGCGAAAATACACGCGAAAATAAAACTAGTGTGACGTATACATAATTGTTTTTAGGATGCTTACTGTGTAATAATTCATGTTACAGCTTGAAGACTGACCACAAAATACGTTATTCTTATAGATGCGTCATGCCCAATTCTCATTGGCCATGATAAATTCATGGGATAATCCTGTTTTCTTATAAAATGAAACTATTTTTAATGATGAACTCTCAACATAATAAAGAGATTATTACAGACACATCAATACATGCTTTTCTTATACTTCAGTGTTGTACATAGTTTTGTATGTAGGCATGATCTGTCTAGTGTTATAAATTAGGCATAATAAATGATAAATTATACAATAAAGCTTGAACAGCATCATTCATGCAGGCAAGATTTACTTCAGTTCTAATGAAGGATTATATAAAGAATATATACCGACTTACAAATGATGAATGAATTTTACAGTCTTTGCATTAAAACATCTATGATCCAATGTTGTCAGTAAAGCAGCACTGAGACAAGTAGAAAACCAGTGAATACAATAAGATAAGATGAAGCTTCACAATGACATAGTATTAGAACTGGAATAGAAATTTACCTCTTATTGCATTAGAAGTTTAAATGAGGCTTCTCGGAATAAATTCTTTCCTGTTTGGGCCTAGGTTTCTAGTCTCAGAACGACAATTGGTCAGGTACAAATACAAGGGCCGTCTAAAAGAAGAGCTCTAAGAAAAGAAGTCCTCTATGGTCAAAGAATGATATTCTATAAATAGCAAAACCTTGTTTTCTCTTATATACACGCGAAAACGCTATGAACACTGTGATAATCAGTGAATAAGTAGTTTTAATTTGGAAACGATTTAGAATATAAGAAGATGGAATGAGTCATTGTCAACTAATTGCATATTAGATATGACATATCATCAGCTACTACAGATTATAGATACCATGAATCAACGTTGTGAGCTTAATGCCGTGTATTATGTTAGTACTTAAGATGACTTTGGCTTGTGTACGAAATATATTGCTTATATTGAGTTAAAGAGTGTATAATCTTCTTTGATATAAACGTATAAATACGAGAAACATCCCACTTTGTGGCTGGTTGAAATGAATTATGTTTGCACGAGAGTTAAGCCAGAAACGAAGGAATGTTTTGACTTGCACAAGCATGGATTATACAAAAATATACATACAAAATACTTTCTTTTAAAGTGAATGCTAAAGTAATTTGAAATTTATAAATAATATGAGCATTACACTGATTTTGAAAAAATCCTTAGTAATTATAATCCTGCTCCTCCACCTAATTGTTGGTTCGATTCCTTGGACTGTATTCAATTAGTTGCAGATGTATATAACAGATCTGTATCTGTATACTTCGAGACAGCAGGCAATACGTTGTGTCTGCCATTTTGACCCGTGTCACCTGAGGCCTTTTGACTAACCATCGAACCTGACAGTTTGAAAAGAAATATAGAAAATTAATTCAGCCAAGATTGCCACCATTATATGAGTCATCCTTTATAAAAAACGGCATGAAAGAGAATGATGTTTTATACAAATAAATGGACCTTTTGTTCTGGTGTACCCTAGTGTTTTCGCTTGCATTTTCGCGTGTGCGTAGTATTTCCTATAAACAAGGTTCACTAGCGACTTCATACTTGGATCAACCGACGTCATTATTAGACAGCGAGATTTTTTTGCACGACATCAAACTCAAAATCAGCGACTTTACTTTCGGCAATGGTACGAAGGGGCAGGGATGCTACTAAGGTAAAACGACAGCAGTTTGGAATCATTAGTGTTTGTTCAATAAGTTGAAACAAAGAAGAAAAAGAAGGAAAATTGCTAGCGGCTTGCGTTGACAAGTTCAATACTTTGAACGTGAAATTTGCATAAGCAGCATCAGAGGTATTAGACACTAAAATTTACGGAAAGACGTATTGCGAGTGCCAAAAACGAGAAATGGGCATTTGCTTATACTGGTTTAACAAGCGTCCTAGGTTACCAGAGCTATGGGATGCTTTGGAACAGAGATATTAATGCTTCGAACAATACCCACGATAGTACTGCTGCATATATTTCCGAAAGCACCTTGACGCACTCTTTTCGCTGTCTTTGCCAGGATTAATATCACTGTCTCGTACAGGTAAAGTTAAAATTCATTTTTATTTTTGACTCTTAATTTTGTTCAAAAACTGTAACTATGCCCAAACGATGTCACAGCCACTAATAATACAGTCACGTCTTTTTCTTCAAAGGAAGCTGAAGAGCTCTCTTTCTTCAACACACACTTTGAAATGCCTCTTATTGTCTTGACAGGGTACCCTTCTAGCGGAAAAACTCAAAGAACCAATGAAATTAAAGAATATTTGACAAAGAAACTCGCAGGAGAAAACAAGTCTCTTAGAATTCACATTATAGACGATCATAGTCTTCATGTACCCAAAACTGCTTACAAAGGTAAAGGACATGAAAAAACAAAAAGAATAAAACCTTATGAGTTTTCTTAGATGCCAGAGAAGAAAAAAAGGCTAGAGGCGCACTATTATCAGCTGTAGAAAGATTATTATCAAAAGATGATATTGTTATTGCCGATGGATTGAATTATATCAAAGGGTTTCGATATCAGCTTTATTGTGTAGCCAGAGCCATTGGTACACCACACTGCGTTGTGCATACGGGTGTTCCTGCTGATATAGCAAAAGAATGGAATACGAGTAGAAATGATGAAAGATATGATGATATAGTGTACAGCAATGACCATTGTGCTTTTTATAAATGAGCTTCTAAACCTTCCACATCTTTAGGTTTGATGAATTAGTGTCAAGGTATGAGGAACCAGATGAACGCAACAGATGGGATTCTCCATTGTTTACTATAATTTATGATGATAAAGAAATACCTGGAGACAAGCTATGGGATGCTGTCATTCTCAAGAAGCCACCGCCACCCAACAAGTCTACAGTATCTAAGCCAGTGTCGTCCACTAATTATGTATATGAGCTCGACAAGGCCACTTTAGAGATCATCAATGCATTTGTTGAACAACAGAAAGAGCTTGGCCCTGGAGGCATGCCAATGACAGTACCTAGATCTACAGTGAAAGTAATCAATCCGTCACGTACTGTGACCCTGTCTGAACTTCGACGTTTGCGTAAACAGTTTGTCACATATAACAAGATGAATACAACACTAGATGTGAATCGTCTTGGTGATGTGTTTGTAGAATACCTTAATACTAATTTGGAATAAACAGATAAATTAAACGTTTAAAGATTGACTTCATTCTATTTTATCTTGTTTTCTTTTTTCTTTATAAAAGCAATAGTAGTAACAATGGGTAATAGGGAAGAGGATAACAATTGAAGGGATACTAACCACTACGCAGTCATTCAAATTGCCCGTGTACAAAAGCCTGCCCCACCCTTCCGAGCACCTGCGGTTGTGGATGGAAACTTTAAAGATATTTCCCTACAGGACTACCAAGGACGATACTTGGTGTTCTTTTGGTATCCTATGGATTTTACATTTGTATGTCCTACAGAAATTATTGCCTTTTCTGATCGTATAGATGAATTCAGAGAACTAAATTGTGATGTGATAGCCGCTTCATGCGATTCAGGTATTTGAAAACGGATTTAAGACAGACTGGCTTCTCATTTAGTGCAATAGAGTATTCTCATTTGGCATGGATAAATACAGAAAGGAAAAAGGGTGGTCTAGGAAAGATGAATATACCTATACTTGCAGATAAAACAAAAGAAATTGCCAAAATGTATGGTATCTACATTGAGGAACAAGGGATCACGCTTCGTGGCCTCTTCATTATCGATCCAAGAGGTATAGTTCGTCAGATCACAATAAATGATTTACCTGTGGGTCGCTCAGTGGATGAGACCCTTCGACTGCTGGAGGCTTTTAGATATACAGATGAGCATGGTGAAGTCTGTCCAGTGAATTGGCAAAAGGGTGATAAGACTATCAAGCCAGATGTAAGCGCGTCTAAAGAATATTTTGCCTCTTTGACAGCGGAAACAGAAATAACGGCTACGTCGACTATTACTACGACTTCTATTCCTTAATTTACAATAATAAACACTCTATTTCAATATGGTTACTGTTATTGCTTTTATCTTGTAATAACTTGTAAATCAGGGCCTTTCTTTCATTGATAATAGAGAATCAAATGATAATTGCATTTTAAAAAAAGAGCAATTGAGACTGCAGGTGCATTAGTGCAAATCATTTGATTTATTTGAAGTTTGTCTTATCATGCATAACCTTATTTACAATAAAGACTAAATATAAGAATAAAAGGAGAAGAAAGAATGATAGGATTGGTCGCAATAGTAATCTTTTTTTTTTTTTTTTCGTCAAGCTATCAAACGCCCGCAAAACTCCTGACATAAAAGGGAAACAAATTTCGAATATTGCAAAGAGTCCCTGCATGAACAACCTACATTACAAAACAATGGTGTCCCCCATAGTCATTCAAACTGCGCCATTTGCCGAATTGGACTAAAGAAAAAAATGAAACTCCTTGATTGGAAAAGAAACCAGGGCATTGGAGTCATATTTTTTTTTTTTCTTTTCTGTCAAATCTCTCTCTCGCGCGCCAATCATGTTTATGCCACAAGTAATTAAATGATTAAACCAACTCAATGTGATGCTCATTCTGTTATTAGCAACCTCAATTAACACCTGAACAAAGAGCATTTCTTCGTCAACGTACGATTGCAACTGTCTCCAACTTTGCTCTTGTTGTCTTGAGCATTCGTGCCGGTAAGATAATTTAAAAAGAAAAAAGGGGCCAAAAATGATATGAGGATTAGTACTGATAAATATATATAGCTCCTTTTGTGATTGAACAAGTTAAAAAGTTACTCTAAAATGTATAAAGCACAAGTCAAAGCCAAATAAAGCAATCATTCAATTTTTATATTTAATTCATTCTATTTTCTCTCAGTTGATTTTTTTCTTTCTTTCTTCTTCTTCTTTTCTCTTTTATTTATTCATGTTTGCCAAGTCTAAAAGATTTCCTACAGGTAACAAAAACAAAAACAGAGACATTATTTAGGGCTCCATTTCTAATTTTTTTTTATATATAAATTTAGCTGATAAAGACTATATTCCAGGACCAGGAGAATATGATGTACCCATCGATGACGGTGGTCGCCATAAGCGTTATGGATTCCTTTCTCAATCTGATCGGTTCACAGAAGGTACACAAAAATGTCAACTTGCATTACATTGACACTATATTTAGAGCATCCTGATGACGATGGTTATTCAACCAGCACATTATCCAGTGAAACGGCACCTAAAAAAGATAATCCTTATTATAAACAAATACAAAAAGATTATGAAACACTCTTACAAAAATCAAAGCGCATGGAAGCAACCATACAATCACTCGAACTCGAAAAAAAGTCAATTCAACTTGACAAGGATATGGAATTGGCAGATGTTCGATCCAAGAATGCAGCCCTTCAAAAGACTGTAACTATCACTTCTTGTTATGACACGCTTTTAACTCGCTTTTAACTAGATTGCTCGACAAGAAAAGCAATTAAAAACAAACACCTGGCAAAAACGACTGGAGCAACTCGAACTAGATTACGAAAAGAAATTATCGGAGAAAGAGCAACAGGTGATTGTGTTACAGCAGGATCTCGGTAACAAGGCAACAGAGCTTGAAACAGCACGTCAAGCACATGAGCAGCAGCTGAAACAGATCTCGGACCAGCTCCGGGAAGCGACTGAGCGTATGGATAGACTCGAGCAAGAGACAGAACGTATGTCCTCCCAGATTGTTGACTATGAACGGATATGTGCCGAGAATGATGCACAAATTCATGTGCAACAAGAGGAGATACAATCACTACAGGCTCGTATCCAAGAAAATGGTCAAGTCATTCAAGATTTGACAACACGGTTAGAGGCAAAAGAAAAAGAGGTCGAAACACAGCATCATGAGATAGAACAACAAGGTGCTCTCATCCAGAGCCTCCAGACCCAGTTCAAGATCTACCGTCAGCACATGAGTCAGGTGCTTAAAGATCAAAGAGAGACCAAGTGCCAGGGTCACTACAGAGAGCTCAACAGACTCCTGTCAGAACTGCATGAAGCCAAAAAGTTTATTAATCAGCAGGCCATTCACCTTGATAACCTTAAATCCGATATCTATTGGCTCAATTCAAGATGTGATAAAGCCGAACAATCAGTCAAGGATATGTATCAGGATAGACTGGACCAATACAAATTTTATCAACTCTTTTACCATAATAAACTTTTAGTCATGAAGCATGAAAACAAGAAAACACAACAACAACAACAACAAAGGATAGCGAGAAAACCCATAAAGAAAGAAACAGAAAGACCTGTTTCTAATTGTAGCTCACAAAGTACATTTTCCTTCTCAAGTAGATCCACTGTGTCTATACAAGAAGCCGAGCATTTACAAAGTAAGTCTTTTCTTAAATGTTTGCTGTTGCTCACTCTTTTTTAACATAGTCAAAATGAATCCTCATCTTGGTACTGTTTCACATTAGCCTAATACCCTTTTTTATTTACATACAAACATATACCTCTTTCTTTATTTCCCCACTTTTCTCACTGTGAATACCATTAAACAAATATATTGATCTGTACAATTTTTTCATATTTTCATATTTTGATTAGTGAACTCTGAATGTATGAGGACGACCAAAGAGAGCACGATCTTGACCTCCGGGTGATCCATAAATAATCACGGGTATTTGGCAGTCAAAGGTGCTTACTTCTACATCTTGTAAACATTGATAGTGCCTATGTCTTTCATCTACATTGATTGGAATAAAAGGTGCATCTGAACCAGTGATGAATTCGAATTTTAAATAATATTTCAATGACACTACACAAGTACGTTCATTCTCTTTTTCTTTATAAGCATTTTTTTTTTTTTTTTTACCTCCAGTCGTTTGAAAATCAGGTGAGCAGGTAGCTGGTATAGGTAAAGAAAAAGAAAGACGTCTATTACCCAAAGAAAAGGAATAAAAGTCCGAGTGTATCTTTCGCGAGACCCGCGCGATTTGTTGTTGTGGACGTAGAGCAATCGTTTCCTCTACGACTTCGCAACTTTCTAAGAATATCGATATTTTATAAGTAGACAATGTGGCACCAGTAAAGTCCAAGACACCAACAATAGGCTCTCCTAATCGATGAGCCGTCTTGATCAAGTGTAATTTGGCAACCCGTTGATTGTTTTTGCAAATATCATACATTGCTAAATTAAGGTCAACTCTTTTTTTGTTCATATCTGTGTTATAATTACCTTTTCTACTGCCATGTGTCAACCTAGAGACTATCTGTGAACACGATCGACTCATTGAAGCCTCCTCTATTTCTCTATTCTTTTCATCATATGCTTCACTCTCTCGTCTGGTGATTTCATGCCTCGATTTTCTATTATCCAATAACTCATTGATATAGTCTATAAATTCTTTTCGTTCTTCTATTCGACTCTTTTCCTCGCTTCTTTTCACCTTTGACTGATGCTCGTTTACTATCGCTTCGTCCTTTACAACTATCACCGGGTTCATCAAGTCGTAAATTGGCCGTGATCCGTCTTGGGCGACATGATTCAATACCCTAAACCGTATCTGAGCCACTTGTCCCTGATTGAATTTGCTTTGAGATGCTCTTTGTGCGCCCACGACAAGGTAATAGTTAAATCGTATGGCCTTTCCTCGATGAGAAGGCGGGATATCGTTGGGTAGCTTTACTTTATATGTGTCTATTCAAGAAACAGAGATCAGTTTGTTTGTTTTTTTTGTTTTTTTTTGTTTTCTTTGGTTTCTTATACTCTATACCAACTTACACTGCTTTGTCTCGCCTGGTTCCAGATCAAGATCAACAAACAAGATAGAAGGCGCTGTAGAAAAGACGGGCAGAGTACGTGCATCTACAAAAGATCAATAAGTACCTTTAAAAGTGATATTCTTTTTTTTTTTTTTTTACTCATAAACGTATCCGATTTCACTAATCCTCCTCCAAACCCACCTTGTGGGCTACTGTATTGCTTCAAGGGATCAAACTCATTTATATTGATCAAACTTGGGTCTACGATAAAGCTTCCGACGACCTGTACAAATCCACAAAGCAAATGCTCTGTTTTAATCGTTTGAGACAAGGTGGACAGTCTTCGAAGTGAAGGATAAGAAGCTGTAGATTCCATTGAACTTCTGGGGCTTATTGGGTATGTGTCTATACTTGTTCTAGGTGAATCTAGTTCGATGGCAATGGGATCATCTGTCGTGACGGATGCTGCTCGACTGAGAAACGACGTTAACGAAGTCATGAGCCGTGTTGAGCTACTGGGTGTATTTGCTGGTTGTAATTGAAGAGTGGATGGTGAACGGGTCATCGGAGTGGATCGTGTTGTGGTTGCAGTCGTTGGTGGTTTGAGTGGATTGGTGAATGAGATTTTACATCTTAGGGTTTCTCCAGCATAAAATACGGCGCCCTGAGAGAAAGTGGTGGTTACTATGATAGAATAAGTACAAAAAGAATAGAACAGAAAAAAGACGTCATTACCCAACACACTCATTTTTATTAAATAAAAGTAAGAAAAAAAGAAAAAAAAAAGTACTTGTGTGTGCGTGTGTGCGTGTTTGCGTGCATGGTGTTTGTCGTTCCTAATACAATCTCAGTTAGCTCCACTCCGACGTCTAATATGATAGATGCTCTCAGTATCATGCTTTAATTGCATATAAAGTTATAATAAGGATTTATCTTTTTTTTCTTCAAACTAACAATGTGGGCCTACTATATGAATAGTATCAATCAAAAGGAACAACAGGCTTTTACCAGAGCAGAAGTCAAGAACTTGAAAGAACAAAGGTCCAAGAACAAGAGGAAAAAATACCAAAGATTTGATCTCCCTTTGGCAATTCTCCAAGCCTTGGATGAAACACCTCTAACTTAATTCAAGAACAACGCTAAGATCTACAAACGTTCTAATCACAAATACAATCATGAGGAATGAAATAAGTCTGAATAAGCCAAGAAAGAATTTGTATCAGATCTCAAAAACTGAAAAGCGGGCATACATCAAATCGTCACTGCCATACATAAACTTATAGAAACGACGAGTTTGCAAGTTCGAGCTGGTACAAAAATATACGTGCAACTTCAGTATCTCAGCACATTCACAGATCAAGGTATCTTTACCAACATAATTGAACAAGCAGAACAATTTGCAGCTTTTGGATTTGGGTCAGCAAAGTTTCAGGATCAAGAAGTACAAGAAGTGGCCATCAAGCCCTCAATCTACAATCAAGTACTAAATATTTGAAGACAACAATAATGAATGATGAGTGATCAACCAAAGACTCCTTCAAAATCAGGTTTGTTGGGAAAGTTCACCAAGCTAGATTTGAACAACGAGCCTTCCAACAAGCTACTTATTACAAGCAAGGGGGCTCCAACGGTGATTTCCAAGGACATATTACCTCAGCAATAACGTCGAATAATTTAGCGTACGATAACTGAATGACAACAAAACGGCCGTCTCAACAAACAGTATCAGTTTACCAAACAACAGAAGCTTCACCTGTGCAACAGCAACAGATAGCCGTTATGTAACAACATACACTCTTTCCAAGAACAAATTCAGATTACACGAAAAATAAACTTGTCCTGATGGAAAAATCAATTCATCTGATAGCAATAACAGCAGTTGTGTTGTAGGAAATGTAAATTCGTCTTCGCTGACAAACCAGATGCCCTGCTGCCAAGAATGTTTTGTACTTTCCGGAAAGAGTGTACAACAACCACTATGCAGCAACATTCAACAACAGTCAAGCAATACCAACCAACATTGCACTATTCTGAAGGACGGCATTCATCCGTGATGGCCGATTATCAAAGTTTCAGAAATATTGAACAACAATTACGACACACAATTGACTCGTTTCCATTGTGGAGAGGGCTACTGAATACAATTCAGCACTACCCCGACACCTTGGGGATTATTAGAGAAGAAGATGGATTAAGTGAAACAGTTAGCAGTCAACGAATCTGTTAGCCTCAAGATTTGGCAGTAAATGTTAAGGATCTATGCAAAAAACATCACCTGTAGGTTTATTATCAGCACATACAATGCCTTGCCAATACAAAAATGGACCAATTGTCGCGCATAAATATACCATTGTACGCACAGACGATTCCGAAACAGATGTTCAAGAAGCAGAAACTACATTGAGGAGTTCTTGTCATTCACTTACGGCCAATCCAGTATTGACTTTCATCGTTATTGAAGACGAAACACCTCGATCGATCGATCATATACCAGATTACACAGAAATTTTCCTTAACTGCATATCTATTATCCACTAAAGCAGGAATCAATCTGAGAATGGTTGGAAGCATTATTAGTTATGGTGTCAAAAATAACAGCCTTCAGTGGATTCACTACGTATAAAACCATTCACATATTTCAGTTAGCCAATGATAACAACCACTTCAACAGTACTCATCTAAACACTTTGAGATCGTCCATCACTTCAGTGTACCGAGCTTTGCATCCTAATGAGAAACCAAGCGCAGCTCAGCCTCTCATCCAAGATTTTTTTCGCAGCAAAAAGAAGATCAGAAGTAATAATCCCATCTACTCAGCAACTTTTAATCTAGGAAACCGACACGACAACAACTTTTATAAACGAGCGTGGGCTGATTCCGCAAACCTATACAACCTACAACTAAAGACTATTGCACTCCTGTGTTTGGTAATGATGGCATGGTCAAACCCAGACATCGGACGCCTGCAAACGAGTGATATACGAATCGGCCTTCAACACTCGCCAGTAGATCCAAGCAGATCATGCCACATTAGGAGTCGATATGGAGCCAATTGAGATTGTATTAGGAACGACAAACAGTCAAAATACTGACCCCGTTTCGATTTCTCACATGACAGATGTCCGCCCCGATAACGTAGTATTAGAGATGTTTTTTTAAAACTGTCATTTCAGTCTATCTCTTTAAAAAAAAAATTGAATGTTCACATTGCTAATTTGAAAGATATGCAAATAAAGCATGGCTCTGAGAACATCTATCACATTATCCGTCTTTGCCTGACCTTAATTCGGTACAACATTAGTATTATCTTGTGATTGAGAACAATTATAAATAGCTGTTGTACTAAAGTATAAAAAAAATAAAATGTTATGTATGTCATCTTTTTTCTTTTCTTTCACAATAATCCATGGAAAGAGATTTAGAGAATATTATCAAGTTCGGAAGAGCCACGGAATCCCAAGCAGCCCAAAGAGACGTGTTAAGGCGTTATATAGGGAGAATCAACGACAGCGAAGATATTGATGATTTAAACAAAACAAAAAACAATCTTGTCTTAAGATATTTACTTGACAGGGATACACTTATAACAATCAATCCTCACAACTATATATTTGAAAATGGAGAAGTTACTCATATAATTGGTCTCCAACTAAATGAACGCACGTTATTATTGACCGTAACTAGAGATTTATACAGATAAGAAACCTAATAAGTCCATACGTATTGTATGTTCTGTCAAAATTGAATTTTTTATAAAATAAAAAGATTCATTATTGATTGTATGCTGTACATATCACAATTGCCGTTGCTTCGAATATGACTATCTTCTTGATAACATTTCCGAAGGCCGTGTTCACAATCGTAGCGTCCTTGACGCGCTGATCTACTGGCTTGTAATAGTAGTTCTCAAAGGTTGAGTTGCTTAAACTCCAGCTATTACGTGGTTTGGGGTTATCAATAGGAACATCAACCATAGCCGCTTTGATGCTTGATATGGAACGGAAAGAATGCGCACTTGAATCATATTGTTTCGGCTCCTGCCATCCTCAGGGGTTCTTCCAACCATATGTTCGCCGTTTTGGGCCTAATTAATCTTGCTCTGTACTTATCGTGCGTGATGTGAGCCAAAAAGAGACTGTGATTGTCTTCTAAATCATAGCATATGTGGGAAGACTGCTGGATGAAAGCATGCAGAACTCGAACAAGGCAGAGATTCTCATCCATCGTTATACTTATTTTACTTGCTTTTGGCTTGATTTCTTTTGGCTGACGTACAATTAAGGTTGTACCGATTATATTTCCCCTTGAATTCGATGAAAGTAACATATCTACGTTGAAGATTCCCTAGGTTAGGCCTTATTCTCCATATGGCCATGGTTGTTAAAAGCACCAGTGTCTTCTTTTGCAGTTGGCCAGTTCATTCGTAGTACTCCAGTTGTTAACTAAATTCAATATCGGATCGATATCGAAGGCCCCCCTGATGTCGGTTTGGTAGCTTCTTGTTCGTTTTCTAGCTTTGAAACACTGTTGTACCAAGGCGTTGCTAGCCAAGCTTAAGCCTTGAGAATGAACGACTCGGTAAACTGAGATTGCCGTAGAACGAACCGCCCTCAGATGCTGCAAGGAAAGTGAGTTTAGGACCGCAAGGTGCTTCACTGCTAATGGTAGGGGATGCTTCTTCGTATTTTTGGGTAAGCATCACGCAGCCCAGTTCTTCCAATGTCTACTGTAATTTTCCAATGTTGATTTTTGAGTAGATTGCGTCAAGTAGTGCACAGTTGACTAGCTCAATTTTTCTTTTTCTTACCAACACTTGATAGTCATAAGTGGTTACCGAGGAATTCTTCATATTGAAAACCAGAGAATCCGCCTTGCTGCGCTTCAACATCATCGGTCACCAACATCATGTTGGCCATGCTGGGGTCACTATCACACAACTCTGTACTAGATCTTGATTAATCTTCTTCAATAGCCGTGGGATCAGTTTCCAAGGTAGGTATAGGAAGGGACTCCTCCTAGGCCATAGTTACTGGAAAGCATCTGTTCTCTCTGCTCTGGAATTGTTCTTCCACGACCAATATTTCTTCAACTTGGTGTTGCTATTGTCGACAAACGCATCTATTCTTAGGTTGATATTCCACTTTTGTGCAGTTCGATTGGCAGCCTATTGTGGCAAGCTGTAATTGTTGATTGGTTGATATATTCGGCTCAGTGCGTTGGCCTCTGTATTCAACACTCCTGGAAAGCGTTGATAATTGCTGTCAGGTTGTGCCGATTGCACATGTCTTACGTCTCTAGTACAATCAACTGCGCTGTACTTGAGCGCTGTACGGTTGTCGGAATATATGTGAATCGCTTGATCTTGGGTATACACCTTATTGACTGCATCTGACTTAGTCCACTTGCCTCTATCGTGTTACAAGGCTTCTTCTGCAAAATCTTGGATGTTTGCTCTAAATTCTTTGCTGGAAGACTCTTTCAGATCCTCGAAGATCTCACTTGGTAATGCATACTCTGTTGATTTGTCTCTACTGGTCTGTGCAGTATATCGCTGGATGGGCTTAGTGATTTGTGCTTCTGTAAGGCCATAACCTGACATTTGTGCACCATAATGTGCGGCTTAGAAAGATGTAAAGAGTATAGACTATAAGAAATATTTTTTTTTATTGATTTTCTGAGAATAGAAAGCCTATAACCACATCCAAGGTCGAATTGCAAGCAACGACAGTTGTGGTAGGTACGACTCACAGTTTGAATTCATTAATAGGAAGATCCAGCTTCAAAAATTGACTGATCGCTTTACATCAGCTGATTATGCCAATATTAAGATCCTGAACAATATTGTTTATGCTTGCGAAAGCTTCTATACGCAAGTGATATTTTTTAATGTTATAGATTAAATCAATCCTATCGATGACTGCCATGATATTATCTTGCTGAAAAAGAATGATAATTCATCAAGGAAGATGTCTGGTGTTAAAAGTAGAATGGAACTGATCGTCATTGCGCATGATCTTTAAGTGAGGGTTTCCATTTTTGTTGTAATATCGGTCGTTGCAACAGATAAAGCGCGTTTGTCACATCGAAGTTACTAGCCATAAAATGCCCATCGTCAGTGGGTGGCAGGAAAGAAAGAGACGATTCATCTATTGACTTGTTTTTCATACTCTTCTTCGTATTAACACTCTTCGATCTTGATGAGTACTGCTACTTTGGTGTTGAGACATTGCCTATGTTTGATCTAAAAATACACTTGATGGTTTGTGTAAGAATGGATCTCCATTACTTCGACGCCCCTGAAATGCATAATGCATGCTGGACAACCGGAATGTATCTCAATGGTATTGTGGCGGCCTGCTGACTTTACAGACATGTAGTTATCGCTATTGCTTCGTCTTAACCCTCTTGACATCGGTGGAAATTGTATGTTGTGCTTGTCCAAATGCTGTCGAAGTTTTTGACACGTAGAATTTTTTTTTCACGTCTGAAGCATTTGTGAGCAATAGTAATGAGCTTTGGGATTTTCGTCATTGTAACAAATTATTATAAGCAAGTGAAGAAGAAGAAGAAAAGAAAAAAAAAAGAAAACAATATATGTGACTAATGTTGTTTAATGATAATTTGACACTTTATAAGGTGGTATTGCAGGAGCAACAAAGGAAGAGCATTTTTTGACAGAAGGTTGCTTTGTTAGATTTAGTTTATGTAATAGTTCAGCCAAACTGATATCTTCATCTTCCTCTTCTTCTCGTTTTGCATAATTTAGATAATTTGACTGGGATTGAATTATAAGTTTTTTTCCACTTTCAAGGTTGTAATATTTCACTTTTTCAACAAAGACTGCGTTATTATTGTTATCAAATGAAGACAAGTCTTCGCTCTTTTCCTGTTGAAAGTAGTTGAATAGGTTATTACTCATCCAGAGACCAGCATCATCCAATCCCTTTTTCTTTAATATCAGGTTAGCCTCTGTGACTAAAGGCATCTCCTTTGGCATAATCTTTGCTCGTCTAGTACTTGGTCTTTTGATCACTTTCTTGTTGGGTCGTCTATGACTGATACTTGTCATGTCTGTAAATATACTCAAATTATCATCTTCAGGCATGGGTTCGATAGGTGGTGGTGCAACAGTCTTTTTGATATTTGGATCTTGTGCCATCAGTTCAGCTAATGACCTTCGCCATTCTTCAATAACTTGAACTTTTTCTCTAGACAGCATTGGTTTTAGCATAGGTTGTACTTTTGGCTCTTCTTGTTGCCGTTGTTGTTGAGTGAATGTCCACATTTTGGTTAATACAAATAACCATCTTTCCAAATCCTTTTGTTTCGATGCTTTCAAGACATATCGCTTATTAAAAATGGTTTGAATTGAAAAGCATTTTGGTGGTCTTTTTGATTTCCTTAAAAGTGAAATAGAACAAATAGTCGAAAGATCGACGGTCCATTCAGGCAATTGAAAGTATTTTATATTGGGAATCGATTCATCTGTCAATCGTTTTGGTGTTGTATAAAGTGGATTATTGACAGTTGGACTATTAGGTTGCTTCTTTGTTGATAAGCAAGTAAAAGTTGAGCCATCAAATCGAAATAATCTCCACTTCCATTCCTTTTTTTCTGTTCGAACATATAAATGCCCTTCAAATATCGGTGTACATGTTACTGGTATCTCTTGTTCGTTTGAGTATAATGACATGAATATATAATTTATATATAGGAGTATATTTTAAAAAAAAGAAAGAAAGAAAGAGAAAAATACACGGTTGATTCTTTTTTTAGCAGAGTCTGGATGGTGCCTTTCTCCTTTTAGCAGTTTGTATTTTTTGACTTAAAAAAAAATTTTAATACATAAGTTTTCAAGTAGACTCGCGTTAAAAATAGTTGATGTGGACTAGAGCTACTTGTCACATGTTCACTAGTTGTCATCATATTATCTCAAACCATGCATTCATATAACCATTTTTAATGATGGACTATCGTAAAGTATTTAAAAAAGAATTATAACAAGTACAATCATGCAACTATAAAAAAGACACGTTTTGTAATTAAACATAACGGTGTAGTCATATGAATAGTAGTCGTAGGACTACTGTTTGTAATATAAATATATGCTAAATGTTTTTTTTAAAAAAAAAAGAGCAACCCTGTTCAGTAAACAAGATTTCACGACTAACTATATCTGAAATCACCCCACATGTAGTTCCTTACTTGTCCAGCAACGTAATCGGATAATAATAATAATAATAGATAGAAAGTTGAGACCCTACATGGTTATAGCACCTTTTCCTGGCTCCTACTGGCTTCTTTTTCATTTCACTAAAAATAGTATGAACAAGGTTTGATTTTTGTTGAAGAAAATGTTTAAAAGTGATCTAAAAACAGAAAGGGGAGTTACATTATATATCAATCCATGTCTTTAGATATGTGTATACGAAGCAAAAGCTCTGACTATTATATATAAAAGAGCCTATTACAACAAGTAAAGGCATGGCACACAAATAAACTCTGGGTACACTGTCACAAGAAGAAAATAAAAAAAGATCTTGGTTATGCAAACAACCTGTTACTCTTTATTGCATAAACAAATTTTTATTGATAATCTAGCAATGTCTTTACAATATGATGCGACACATCTCTTAAAAACAAGAGAGAACCGTCAGAGCGTTAAAAAAACAAACAAACTGAATTTCATTTTTCTTACCTGTTTGCCCAATATCTAAAATGACTCTTTAATGCAACAATCCATTCAGATGCATAAGCATCAATCATATTTTCAGAGAGTACATAATCTAGCCTTGGATACATGTTTCCATCTGTTCCCAAGATACCATCCTTTGGTATCATCAAATTATTATCTTGATGCATAATCTTTCGTCTCTTTTTTCTCACACCGTCATCATCCAGTTCCTCTTTTCTTTTTAGTGAGTAGTCACTGTATGTCACAACACTTTCCGTTTTTACTGTAAAGAAAGATTGCCAAAAGGATTGTATATAAGGCTTGGCGGTTGCAATAGACGATTTGATGCCTAAATTGGGTATTCTCGGTAACCTCTTGGTCCTATCGATCAAGACAGGCTCGACTGTATCATAATTGGGGTGTATCATCGGCTCTAGACGATAACCCAGTGGATCGAAAGGATGAAATATGTTGTGTATCCTTGTACGTGGTGGTGGACGAAACTGCAGATAACTCAGTCCACGACAGATCAGCCCTGCAGCTAACAAAAAAAAAAGGAGGGGGGGATGAAAACATAGACTATGGAAATAACAGGAACTTTACCTATTGGACTACCACAAGTAAAAATACTTTTTATTTTAAAACCAAGTGGAGGTACTGTGATGTCAGGTGTATTACTAACATCACCTTTTGCCCAAGGAGGTAATCCATCTTCATGTTCTGACCATTGCATCGAAGCAATATCATAGGCAATAATACCACCCAGAGAGAATCCGATAAAATGTACATGTCCATTAAATCCTGGATGACTCAACACATAATCCTCGTAAGCTTTAGAGCATGTCTTGGCGACATGGTTGATAATATGTTGGCCGTATGGTTTTGTAAAATAGTAGAGACAATCCATCAACCAGTGATTGGCTGCTAATCGCACCTTGGGAACCGTCGTCAAGGTAGATTTATTCATTTTAGAGTCAATCATGTCATGAATAAAGCTATGCCATTCTGTGATTTCAGTGTCATTCAATGTGGTTTTTATTATTCATATAATCCATCCAAACCTATTGGGATATATTTCACTCGTATATGCTTTTCGTATTGAGGATAATAGGATGATAGGATGTCAAGGGTATTCTTTTGTATGGTAGACACTAGTTTATTTCATTAAGAGGGTTTTATCTTCTTTGGTTTGCTTATTACCATGATGCTTCATATTTCCATACTTTTCATATTGTTGTCCCATGCCATGAATAAAGAAAACAAGATGGTCTTGGAATTATCAATATCTAATATACACAACTGTTTATTGCTTACCTGTAACTCTTTCATCATTATGTATCATGATAAAAAAATGAAAGAAGAGAAGAAAAAAAGGGAAATTTGACAACCAAGCGATACCAAAATAAGCCTCATACAGATTTAGGAGGTAAACACAAAGAGAGAGAGAGGGGTATTTTTATTTTAATTCTTGTTCCTTTCAAGATATGAAACTAGTTCAGGGTTTCTTGTCAAGTCAGGATGAGTAGATATTGATTTCTAAAGACGATATTAATATTTTATATAAAAAAAGAGGATATTTATTTACCTCCATATCTTGTAACCAAGGGTGTGCCTATAGAAAACAAGAAAATGAGTTCGATATATATATATATATATATATATATCTACATTATTTTAAACACTTACAAGTACTTGTTTGATCGTATATCTTTTTGACTTGTCTACTGTCATCATTTTTCGAATCAGATCTTTTGCTGTTGACAAAAACATGTTGGTCAAATGTATCCTTCAATACTCCTTATTTACCTTCATGACTTATGTCATCCCACACAGAGCAATCGAAATTAAAATCACCACGCTTTATTTGATCAATTGTCTCCCTCTTGTGTTCTTCAGCTTCACTTCGTTGTAAGAATGGTGTAAATGCGACAAGAGCAGTGAACAACAAGACCCCCAAGCTCCAGATATCGACCTCTTTTCCATATCCATTGGGACAGTCGATCAATTCAGGGGCAGCTTTATACGGGTGAGTATATGCATATAAAAGGATTATATACATACCATACATGACGGTTCCACAATTTGTTTCTAAAAGCCTACCTGGTCTCATAAAGGTAGATAAGCCGAAATCACACAGTTTGACAATAAGTCTTTCTCTATCAAAAATAACCACATTTTCCAATTTGATGTCTCTATGGACAATATTTCGTTCATGAAGAAACTATTCGAATTATGTGAGTGATGGCTTTAGATACATATATATATATAAATACATACAGCAATGGCGTGTGCTATTTGATCAAATATAATCTTTACTTCATATTCTTTAAACTGATAAGAGGCAACACATTCGAACAGGTCACCATTTTTACCACTACCAAGATTAATAACCAAATTTAATAATCATGAAGGGACTTACTATTCCATAACAATATACATGATGTCATCTTGCTCATAGACTTTGCTGATTTGTATAATACACGGCTATAAACAAAAAAGTAAGTCTATTTTTCTTTATGGTTCCTTGCATAAAAAAAGATTTACATGAACAGGCATTGACATACAGACACTAATTTCTTTTAAAAACGCGTCGCGTAGCTTTTTTCTTCCGTGACACATGCTATTTCGGATCAATTTGATCGCCACTCGTCTCTTTGTCTTTTTACACTCTGCTAGTTGAACCACACCATAGGTTCCTTCTGCTATTCGTGACTTTAATACGTAGAGATCCTCTACTGCTCTTGCCCTTGTTGTGCTTGTCTTTGGCTTTACGAATTTGTAGGTTGGATTAGCTGCTTCGTTGTATAGCTTAGGATCCATAAAATGTATGATATCGCCCGTCTTGAGTTCGATCGCGCCATTCTGTATCTTTTTAAAATTGACCCATGTCCCATTTGAACTGTGTGTTGTTAGAATAAGAAAGAGATGACAAGCTCCCATTTACCTTCTATCAAATACATATGGAACAAATCTTTCAACATTGTTTATGGATCTGTGTCTCTAACAGGGATGATCATGAATATCGCGTTTATAGCATTTTTTTGTTGTTGCTTACACAATAGATAATGGCGTGTACATCGCTAGCACCTTTAAGATAAAGCCTTTATATAAGAAGGATAAGTAAATAGAATTTCACACATTATATTTAAAAACCTTATGTCACAATCTTCCTTTTTACCAATTATGTATCCTGCTGCCTGATTATCCAAACGCTTATCCAATTCTCTATCCAACGTATATGTCTCTCCACCTTCTCTGACCAGATAACCCCAGGCGTCTTCATTGTTTTCTACTTTAAGTTGTGATGTAGAAGGGTCCTTGATCAGTACCTTGCTCGTTGTTGTTGTTGTTGTTGTTAGTAACCTTGGCTTGACTTTTCCGTTACCAAATAGGTTACAGGACATGGAAGGTGAACTATAGAGTCTTCTTAACGAATGTCCACCACTGTGTCTTATTTCTGACTTTTTACGTACAAGTGATCGTCCTCGTTTTGTTGTTGTCATTTTGAATCAACACAAAAGAACAAAAAACAAAAAAAAAGTGTCAAATTTTTTTTTCTTTGTTGGTTCCTTTCCCTTTACTCCTTTTCACTGCTTGTACTACATCAAGATGGTATGCTTATTATAAGATTAGCTCAATTTGATTTGAAAAGATCTCCACATTTCATCTCAATAGACAAAGGCTGGACACGTCAAGATGTACGGTCAATCCCTTTCGATGGAAGAATATAAAAAGACAAATAAATATCAGTGACCAGAGACACAGAAAAAGAATATATATTAAAATTGAAGACGGTGAGGGAGGGATCACTCAAAGAGTATCCCCAATGAAAGCATCAGTTAAACCCGTTTAATGAAGTCCACCAAAAAGGCGATAAGCGCGAAAAGTAAAATGTAGGAGGCGTTGATAAATTAAACGAGAAACATCGTTCATGGTGTGTGTATCGATTGTATTCAAGATGATACATTTTGAGTTGTATTCAAGGATAGCACATCATTATGTACAACTTTTCATACAGCATTTCTGTTGTATAAGTACTTTTTCTTGTTGTAAAAGGTTACTTAAGAAAGGACAACATAAAAAAAAAGACTGATCACGAAAACAAGTTCTTATATATGAACTCACGTAATACTCCTGCTTTCATACAAAATAATACTTTCTTTCGTCATGATCCTGGTAGATTATCCTAGGCTCATCAACATGTGCTTCTCTTATACTTTAGTGCTGTGTTATCTACTGTGCAAATTGAATTGCTTATGTCGTATATTGCGCAAATGCTATACAGTCTTTCCGAAAAGTAAATTTATTTTTTTTTTTTTTGTAAAATGGTATATTTTATTCAAGTACTGCCAGTCGGCTTGTACTTATTAAAGAAAATAATAAAGAACATAGAAGCACGGAACAAAATAAAGGTTGCGTTAACCTGCGCGAGATGATTTTAGACGCTCTCTATAAATATTTTCATCCTGTATTCGCTTGATTGCTTGAGTTGCTCGTGCAGCAGCTTCATCGGGCCAGAAGGTACGACCATCAAATACAAAACGCCAATGACACCGCCAGATAGCCCAGACCGTACAAGCAATGATTGTTTGACCATCAACACGTAGCCCTGAAAGCACTTGTATATGTTTAGACGAGCCTAAGGCGAGGGATTCATAGGCAAGTCTCGCAGTAGGCTGCAAAAAGCGATTTGCAATGCGTCCGAAAAGTAAATTCGCCTGTGATCGAAAATAAATGCACCCAATGGTGAGAACAAAATTCATGTTGTATGAAATGTAAATTCGCCGTTACCAAGAATATTTTCGTAGTATCAGCCCTGACGTCCATGGAGATACTGTATTTCCAAATTTAGATGTCGTATTGAAACCATTGTAATGTTATCAGAGTAATAACAAATACAAAAAGAATATGGCTCATTATCTCATTTGACAGTAATATTAACAGGTGGGCTGTCTTGGAGTTGAAATTAACTTAATATTAGAAATGACCCTCTTTAGTCTCTTTGTAAAAGCTTAAATTATTTATTCGGTTTTTCCATGAAACCAGAAGAACATGTAGTCATATTTGGCAATGCATATTCTTGAATGGTCACGAAGCAGATTGCTTCTATTTGACATGATTTCTTTGTCTTAGGCACCCGATCCTGAAACTTGTTTGAAAGAAAAACATATAAAAACTCATTTTAATTGAGCCCTTTTTTTGCTTCTTTACAGCAGTTATCAAGTGTCCCTCTGAGTGTTCAAAGATTCACCAATCAAAACTAGCCTGTCCTCATGGTCCTTGCTCTGACTCGTTTGTCCCGCCCTCCCTGCTCTCTGGTGTGTATCTGGAACGTTCCCCAATAGTCTCTTCTGACGCCCTGGGTTCTCTCAGTCCTCCGTTCCTTTTTTTTTGTTTAAATTATCCTGGGTAGTTATCGCTACCCTCCCCAGAATGCACCTTGGTGGTAAGTAAAACTAATATTAGGATATGTGCTCTAATATTAATATACTTTTTCTCTCTTTTTCTACATATACTCATTATCTCTCTCTCTTTTGACATGATGTCGTTTTATTCAAACGTATTTTTCTTTGTCGTCTTTTTACGAAAATATTTTATAAAATTAACGTCAATAATTAATAAAAATACAGTACAGATGCGCTATGCAAATAACCAAAGCCCAGAATTGGATTAGCGGAACGGGTTCTTCAATAAGGAGGAACGATGAGAAAAGGGAACTGCTGAAAACAATGGGTTACTCAATAGATAACAAAGAGACCCTGCCTGTAAAAGGTGTTGTAACCCCTTCGGGGAACTTTTATTCACTCGTAACGGTTTCAGTAGTTGCCTTTTTTGGTGATTGTTTTTCATTGGTGAGGAAGAGCCACGATTTTTTTTTTTTTTTTTTTTT